AAAAAAAAAAAGAACTACCTTCTGAATGTTATCAAACAGGCGTCGACCCTGCTGGATAGCCGTGACAATAGAGGCAAAGTTATCATCGGTGAGGACCATATCGGCAGCCTCCTTGGCCACGTCACTCCCCCTCTTGCCCATCGCGATACCCACGTCAGCCTGCTTCAGCGCAGGCGAATCGTTGACGCCATCGCCCGTCATGATACAGAAGGCCTTGCGACGGTGCATGGCCTCAAGCATGCGAACCTTGGTCAGGGGGCTGCACCGGGCGAGTACAAGGGGCAGGCTCTCCAGCCGGTCAATCTCGGCGTCCGACATGGCGTCGAAGCGACCCGCCGGCATGACGGCCCAGTCGCCCTCGCCGCCCTGCAGAATGCCGACCTCGTGGGCAATGGCCGTGGCCGTCTTGATGTGGTCGCCCGTGGCCATGTGCACGGAGATGCCGGCCGTCTTGCACCTCTTGACGGCGCCCAGCGTCTCGACGCGCGGCGGGTCGTAGAGGCCGGCGAGGCCCAGGAACCGCAGCTTGGTCTCGGCCGCGTTCCTCTCGCCGGCGTCCTCGTCGTCGTGCAGCACCCTGCGGCCGACGCAGAGGACGCGGAGACCCTCGGAGGCCAGCTCGTCGGCCTTGGCGGCGATGCGGGCCTTGACGTCCTCGGGCGCGGCCAGACGCGCGAGCATGACCTCGACGGCGCCCTTGGTGTACACGTGGCGCGTGCCGTCGAGGTGCTGGTAGACGACAGACATGATCTTGATGGACGAGTCGAAAGGGAATTCGTACAGCATCTTGACGCCCTCGCTCTGGACGATATCGGCCTTGCCCTGGCCGAAGCGCATGGCGAAGACGTGCAGGGCGATCTCGGTCGGCTCGCCGATGGCGGTCCAGTTGGCGACGGGGAGGGTCTGGACGGTGGTGACCGACTCGGTGTCGGCGGTGTCGGCGGCGTCGGCGGCGGACTTGCCGTGAGACACGGTAGAGTTGTTGCAGAGCGCGATGGCCTGGAGGAAAGGGTGGAGCGAGGCGGGCCGGATCAGCATGTGCGACTTTTTGACAACCGGCGTCGAGGATACCGAGGAGCTGCTGTCGACGCCCGGCCACGAGATGGTGCCGCTCGAGGGATCATAAGGGTCGGTGCACCCCTCGACGACGGCGCCCGACTCGTCGGCCAGGTAGATCTTGCGGGTGATCATGCGGCCCTGGGTCAAGGTGCCGGTCTTGTCGGAACAGATGTTGGTGACACCGCCGACGGCCTCGAGAGAAGCCAGCTTGCGGACGACGACGTTACCCTTGGCCATGGCCTTGGTGCCGACAGCCATGGTGATGGTCAGGACGGCAATGAGGGACTCGGGGATGACGGCGACACCGACGCAGATGCCGTAGATGAGGACCTGCGAGTCGATCTGCCAACGGCTGGCGGAGAAGACGACGATGGCCAGCAGGATGGCGAGGCCGAACAGCAGCAGGGCGAACTTGCTCAGCTTGACCTGCAGCGGGGTGCCGACGAGACCGAGGACGTTCTTCATGCCGTCGCGGAAGCCATACCACATGCGGGCCGGCAGGGAGGCGCCCTCCACCTTCTTACGGGTGGTGCGCAACATGGCGGCGATCTTGCCGACCTCGGTTCCGGAACCGACGGCGGCGACGACGCCGCGGCCACGGCCACGGGTGACCGTGGTGGCCGAGTAGACCATGTTGAGGCGGTCGCCCAGCGGCAGGTCCGGCTCGTCGAAGACGTCCTCCGGGTGCTTGCTGATGGGGAGGGACTCGCCGGTCAGCAGAGCCTCGTCGGTGGACAGGTTAATCCCATCGAGGAGGCGCAGATCGGCGGGGACGACGTCACCGACGGAGATGAGGACGATGTCGCCCTGGACGAGGGACTCGGCCCGGACGGTATCGACGTGGCCGTTACGGAGAACCTTACAGGTCGGGGCGGACAGGGCGTAGAGCGACTGGATGGTCTGCTCCGCACGGTAGTCCTGGACGAAGCCCACGATGATGTTGAGAAGGATGACGGCGGTGACGACGCCTCCTTCGATGTAATCCTGGATGGCGAAGGACAGGATCGCTACGATGACGAGAACGAGGGTCAAACTGTTGGAGACCTGTCTTAAGAGTATCTCCCAAACGGATAGGCCCTTGGCTCCCTCGATGCGGTTGGGGCCATCGCGGGCCAGACGTGCGGCGGCCTCGCTGTTGGAGAGACCGCTCTGGAGGTCTGTCTGCCAGATGGAGCGGAGGCCGTCGACGGGGACGCAGTGGGCGGGACGGAGATCATGGCGAGAACCGGAATAGTCTATGATGGGGTTGCTCTTTTCCTTTTCCCCTTCCTTGAGACGGTTGACGAGGCGATGATGATGCTCTTGCTCTTGCTCTTGCTCTTGCTGGAGGGAGGTTGTGGCGGTAGTGCTGGCACTGTTACTGCTGGTGGTGGCGGCAGTGGGTGTGGCAGTGATGGTAGTAGGGTTCTGGTTTGGCTTCACGTCTGTGAAGCCACCTATACTTGGGGGTTCGTCCTGCTCGGCGTTGGGCTCCGCAGAATCGTAGCTGTGACCATTCCTAGAGGCGTCGGTTTCTCCCATCGGATATTGATGGCAAGTCGAGAGTGAGCGCGCGCGACAGATGGAAGATTTGGCGCCTGACCGGAAACAAAACGACGGCAGTTCAACACAGCTGGGCAGTGGAACGAGAAGCGCCTTGACGGAAGAGCAATCTCGGCTGCAAAAAGGAATGAAGTGGTGGTGGTTGTGGGGGGAGGTTCTCTCCTTCTTTTTTTCTTCTTTTTTTTTTCTTTTTTTCTTTTTATTCTTTTCTGTGTCTTGTTCCCGTGAAAGGGGTATAGGAAGAGGATGGTATAAAAGAGGAAATAAGAAAGAGAGAAGATAGTTGAGAAAAGAAGAAGATAATGGAGATGTAGGAGAAGCCCTCTTTAAGCTTTGCACCCGCCAGGAACCGTTGTCCAGTGGCTGTCCGTGTTCTGGTGTCTGCGGGGGAATAGAATGCTTCGATGGCTGGACCGGCCGCCTTGGCTTGACTGTGCGGTTGTGTATGAAATAATATTACTGTACCGGTCGGTAGGTTGTAGAGAGAGGGAGAGGCAGAGGTGTTGGGTGAGGACACGGAGAGAAGAGGTTCGGTCCTAGACCGAGCTCGGTAGAAGTGAGAAAAGTGGTGGGGAAAAGAGGAAGGTCAGCTGTTAAAAGAGGACACTGTAAGAGGCGCACTGTGCAATGACAAGGGAAGACCTGGGAAGACATAGTAGGGAAGTGGAGACGAATCGGCGGCGAGACCAGGATTTGGGTCCTAAGAAGTTACTCCTAAGGTAGAAAGGAATGTGTAATACATACTGTCTATTATACTGTGTACTACGTACCTTTCCCTTACCTGAGGGGGTTGGTCGCAGGGTGGGAAGGCGTCCAGAGCATCGTAGTTGCCCTAAATCCGCTGAAGCCTAGGTATGCTGGAACAGCCCGCTTAGGTTTCCCAGTTTAGCGACTACCTAAGAAAGTGACAAGCCCCGCATATCGTTACTCATCCCCAGCCCAGCTACTTAGAGTCAGGTCCATTAATAGGTACATACTAGGGATGCTGCTTGGCCGAATGACGCAATTGACCAGACAGGGGCATGTTAGCAGAACCCAATGATTGGACCCCGACGTGTACAAAGTACATGCACTGTACGTAGCTTGGATTTCGTACAGTGATGCTCATGTCATTCTCCTGGTGTTCTCTTAAGAAAGACAAGTAATCGGCGAGAAGAAGGAGAATAAGAATAAATGGATATCCGACACTTATACCCAAGTCACAAGGCGAGTGCCATCTTATGTATAGCCATATTTTTCTTTTCTTTCCTTATTTTTCAAACAAAAAAAGAAAGAAAGAAAAAGGGAAGAAAAAACAAAACGTACTTTAGGTACAATACCAAGGTCAGGCCAGTTCTCCGTCGGTCAACTTCCGAAGTGTACCTTCGGTCCTGAACAGATCGGAGTGGGGACATATGTGGGTACCGCGACAGCTACATGGGCTCGGTCCCGGTACGTGTACTACGAAGTACAAGGCAACTAGCGGGCTACTGCCATGGACCGTCGCGTCAAGCGAGGAGGCTTGTTCAAACACAACCCCAGATTCGTCACACAGTGTACTGACCGAAGTACACAAGAAAGAAGAGATGCGAAAAAGGTCAACTCTACACTATATACACGTACAAGCCGGGGGCCTTGGCAGCAAGCGGTATGAGACAATGTTGAAAGGCAGACGGAATAATGAATCAACACCGTACGCCGTACTTCGTGCCTCTACGAAGTAGTGGTACATCAAAATCCTTCTTACAACTCACGTGGGGGGACCTACGTTTTACGCGTAAACGCCCTAAACCACTCAAAAACTATATCAATCGATAGCTCTTTTCAAGCTCTATACGCCTATTTATAGCCCTGTATCGCGCAGGTGCTAATTTAGGCGTATTATAAGTGCGAAAATGCCTGGAAATAGGCTTACGGCTCCCCCGCGTGCGGGGGAAAAGTCTGACGTGGCCCGTGCGCCCATGCTGACAAAGCAGCAGGCCCAGCCGCGCAGAGCCGCACCCCCGATCTCCACCCAACCACAACGCCACAAACAACAACCCACTAGCTATAACGCTAGCCATAAGAACGCCCCTAACGCCCCTAACGCCCCTAACGGCCCTAACGCCCCCCCCTAAGGCCCCTATAATTATAGAGGGCCTAGGGGAGGTGGATATAGATAATACCTCTAATACAGAGGATTTAACCCTCGCTACGCCTCTAAATTCGAAAAGGCACCTTAGCTCCTTTACGGCTACTCCTAGACGCTTTTCTAGGACCCGAATCGAATCCCCCTCGGACTCGGAAGCCGAAAGCGCTTTCGAAACGCCCTCTAGGGCCCCCCCTACCTCTAGGGACTCCCCTGCTAAAAAACCGAGCCTCTTAGGCTCTAAATAGGCTAAAAGGGCCCCGGGAATAGCTAAAGCCCCTAGAGAAACCTCGGCCGAGTCCTAGAAGTCGACTAGATCGGCTAGTAAGGCTTAAGCTAAGGAACTACTCTAATAGGCTCTTCAGCTACTTTAACAGGCCTATACCCGTAACACTGCTCCTTAGATTAAGGCCCTATCCGTAGGGCTTAAATCTACTATCGACGGCGTTCTAGAAGCCCCTTAGCCTCCTATACTCAAATAGAAGGTCGACGAACTAACCTAGGCAGTTTATAGGCTTATAGAAGAGCCTAAACCCCTTTATAGCGAGGCTATAAAGGGAAAAAAAGGCCCTATAGCACCCCAGGCCCCTTTTCAGGGGCTTTAGCACCCTTAGCCCCCACCCCGATATCTATACCCCTAGCACCCCTCCTAATAGACCCTAAAAAGGTCCCTAAGGTTATTTTATAACTAACGGCAGGGACAGCGATCCCTAGGGATAACTTCGACCCCCTCGCGCTTCGGAATAAGCTTAATAAGGCCCTAAAATTCCCTGTAGTTACGGCTATTAGCCGATCGACTAACGGGAACTTTATTCTAACCCCGGGGCCGAAATACAGCGTTTAATAGCTCCTAGACTCGCAGAATCAGTGGTTTAAAGAGCTAAACCTCCCCCTCTAGTCCCCCCAGCCTATAGACGACTAGTTTAAGCTTATTATTAAACAGGTGCCTTCTAAAGCCTCTAGGGGTAGCGATACCCCTCTACCCGACCCCTCCAAGCCACCGTAAAAGGCCTTAACCGAAGCCTATAACAGGGCCTAGGTCTACAGGACCTAGCCACTAAAATCGGCACCTTTAACCCTATTAGGGTAATAGAGAAGCCTCGGTGGCTAGGGGCTCTAAACGCGTTCTATGGCATAGTGGTTATTTCTATGCCCTCTACTAAAGAATAGAAGTACTGCCTAAAACAGGGGCTCTATATAGCCGGCCAGTGGCTAAAGGTCTATAAATATAGGTCTATAACCCCTAGAACCCAGTGCTCTAACTGCTGGAAATTCGGGTATACCCGAGAGACCTATAAAGGCCTAGTTTCCTGCCCTATCTATGCCGTTAAAGGCTATGGGGAGGAATACCACTACTGTAACGAGTGTGAAGAATATGGAGACTGCGAGTATAAGACCTATAAGTGCTGTAACTACGAGGGAGATCACCCCCCCTTTAGCAGGGACTACGAGGTCTTTCGAGCTATAAAACCCTAATTTCTATAAATAAAGGGCCTTATAGCTCGAAAGATATCCGGTTTATTCAACATAATATCGATAAACAGGCCCCGGCGTAAGAGGCTATCCTGGAACAGGCTTTAGAGGCTTCGGCTAATATAGTCCTTATTTAGGAACCAGCCTGCGTCTTAACGCTATAAAGGTGGTTTATTCGGAACCACCCCGCGTTCTATACTGTCACACCTATATCCTAAAACACCCAGTTTTTCCCTATTAAGCCTAGAGTCCTTACTTATATCAGAAAGGGCTCGAATATTGATTTTTCACACCGCGACGACCTTCTAGACGATATAGACGTGCAGAGTATAGAGGTTTATTATCCACAGACCTTTTGTATTCTACACGTCTATAATCAGATAGAACAGGACCCCGAAACAACAGGCCGAGGGCAGCCCCCTAGCCCTACCCCTTCTACCCTTTCCACTTCCACCTCTTCTTCCTTCCCCTCCTTTTTAGGCCCTAGAAGCCGGCCCTGGACCGAGGATCGAGTGCTTTAGAACCTATAGGTCCCTAAGCCTACCCTTATTATAGGGGACTTTAATAGAAACCACTAGCAGTGGAACGGAGCTGCTACTAACCAGGCTTCTATTAGGGCCTAGGCTCTAGTAGACTGGTTAGATAGCCTCGGAGCTACTTATTTAGTGGATTCTAAAGAGGTTAACCTAAACGGGGGGACCTTTTTTAGGTCTAATCTTCGTTAAGAGTCGGTTATAGACGTAGCCTTTTATACGCCCGGCTTCGATTATCTCCGCTTCGATAAGTGGGAGTATATCGAGAACACCACCTCCTTACACCGCGCTATCCTCCTTTTAGCTACTATTTTAGGCCCAGAAGGTCCTATAAATAGGTCTCTCCCGCCGGCTTATAATTATAAGCTAGCGGATTAGAACTTATTTTCTAGTACCCTAAAAAGCCTAGAACCTAGCCTTAACCGGGACCTCTAACAGGCTATTAACGCCTCGGACTAGAACTCTTTAGGTCGCTGCCTCTCGGATACTATTACCCTAGCGCTTCAGGCTATAGTGCCTAAGCTAAGGGTAGTAGAGCGCTCGAAACCGTGGTGGACTAAAGAGCTAAAAGCCCTGCGAAAATCAGCTAACAGGGCTTTTAGGGTATTTAGAAAGACGTCTAAAAAGGGGGCCTCGGTTTCCAAGCTAGCGTCTTTAGAAACCTCCTGGAAAGAAGCTCGGAACGCCTACTACAGGGCAGTAAAAACAGCAAAAAAACAACCACTAGGAGGCCTGCCTAGCCCACGCCGAAGGCCCCGAAATTTTTAAGGCCTATAACTATACAAAGAGCGGCCTTAACGCGAAAATCCCTCCGATTCAAACGCCTATAAAACAGAAAGCCTACGCCTTCAAAGATAAATACAATGCCCTACTTTAGACCCTTTTTCCTATACCCCCCGCCACCGACGCCCCCGAAGCACCTGTATTTACAGGCCCTTCGGGGGACCTAGGCCCCTCTTACCCTTCTAACGGCCCCTAAAGCCTGACTAGATCACGCAGTAAGGGCCTTAGAAGACCGTAGGAGTGGCCTAGCCTTTAGGCTACCAAACTATAACACGCTATCTTCGGTGCTACTAAGGGGAAAGCCCTAGGGCCTAATAGGATTAGTCTAAAGCCGATCCAGCAGGCCTATAAGGTTATCCCCGGGTCCTTTTTATAAGCCTATACAGCATTATTTATAGTAGGATACTATCCTACCTACTAGAAAGAAGCCCTAGGGGTCGTTTTACCGAAGCCGGGAAAAAAGGACTATTTAAATCCTAAGTCTTATAGGATTATAGCCCTTCTAAACTGCCTAGGTAAAGTCCTCGAAAGGGTTATAGCTGCTAGGCTTAGCTTTATAGCTAATACCCGCGACGACCTTCTACACCCTAGTTAAATAGGGGGAAGAAAACAATGCTCTACTATCGATACAGCTCTTCTCCTCCTCCATTATATCGAAAAATAGCGTAAATCACGCCAAAATCCTGTGATTTCCACGCTATTTTAAGATATTAAAGGAGCTTTCGATCACGTCGCCCGTCCCCAGCTACTCAGGTCCCTTTAGAAACTCTAACTACCCTCGAACCTAGTTAAATAGGTAGCCTCTTTTACAGAAAACAGGCGAATCTAACTAGCCTTCGAGGGGCAGGTCTAGCAGCCTACCCCCTTAAATATAGGGGTTCCATAAGGCTCCCCGGTTTCCCCTATCCTTTTCCTAATTTATATTAGGAAGGTTATAGCGGGGCCGGGTTTTTAAGGCCTTTAGCTATCCTATATCGACGATTTCCAGCTATCTACAGTATCTACGTCGACTAGGAAAAACTGTAAAACCCTAGAAAAAGCCGTAACCTCCCTCTTCGACGCAGTAAAAGTCAACTAAGTCCTTTTTAACCCTGAAAAAACAGAGCTTATTCACTTCTATCGAAGACGCTCTAAAGAAGATACTCTAGTCACTATAAGGGGGCACCAAGTTAAGCCTACGCTGGGTGCTATTAGGTGGCTAGGGGTCTGGTTTAATCCTAAGCTATCCTTTAAACCCCACGTCGAAAAACGCCTAAACTTAGCTTCGGGGGCCCTAAACAGATTATACAGGCCAGCTAGCTCGTAGAGGGGCCTTTCTTTTAAGGCTTTACGGCAGCTATATATAGCCAGTATAGCTTCCCTAGCTGATTTTGGCTCGTAGCTCTGGTGGGACCCTAAATCACCGAAAAAACACCTCGTAGACCGCCTAGAACGCCTATAATACGGCGCTTTAGTTAGGGCCCTAGGTGCTTTTAGGGGGGCCCCTTTACGGCCTTTAGAACTCGAAGCAGCAGTACCCCCAGCGGCGGTTCGGTTAACTAGGTCTAATAGGCTTTATGTCTTTAGGACTCTAAAATTTCTACCGAACCACCCTATTAAGCGCTAGCTCCTAGGAGACGGAAACCACCTTACCCTTCTTTAGAACCTATAGCCTACTATATAGTTATACAGGCTAGGCCTTAAAACAGCGGCTTTAATAGATTAGTCTTAGGATATCGAGGGTCCCTCGGCTAGGTAGGAGGCCCCCTAGGCCTCGGAACCTATAGCGGACTTAAGACCCTTTTTCCCACTTATAGACCGGTCTAAAGCAGGCATAGACCCTAGCCTAGATACCCTCGATCAGAAAATAGCCCACCTCGAAGCCCTTACTGAAATATAATAAGGCCTAGGGAAATAGGCCGCTATCTTCTATACCGACGGCTCCCTAGGCTATTATACTAGGCCCCCTAAAGGACCCTCGTAGGCTATAGCCGCTATGATATAGTGGACTAATACCGGAAGGCCCTATAGGGCTATAGGCTTTAACCTAGGGGCCGCTGCCGAAGTCGCGGACGCTGAATTATACGCTATTCTCTAGGCCCTTTACGCTGCCCTAGAGCAGGTGCCGAGGCCCCTAAAGTGCTATATCTTTAGTGATTCCCAGGCGGCTATTCAAAAGCTTCAGCGCACCTTATAGTGGGCTATAGAAGCTAAAGACCTTATTTCACGCCTTAAACTACTAGGCACGTCGGTTTCTGTGTGGTGGTGCCCCTCACACGTGGGGATAGAAGGGAACGAACTAGCGGATAAGGTAGCTAAAGGGGCGTTAAACCCCGAAAAAGCTACTAAATCCGTTAGCTTAGTTACCCTTAGCTACCTAAAACGCCGGGTAAATAAAGCCCTTATTCAAGACTGGAAAACTCTATAGAATCACGAAGAGGAGGAGGAGAAAAAAGGTAAATCGGTTCGATTAGGCCGCCTATATCGGCGACTAGTCCGCGATAACCTCCGTTTCTCCCAAAAACCACCACCGATATAAGGCCCTAGGTGGGTAAAATCGGCTTTTATGCAGTTAAAAACCGGCTTCGGATACCTAAAAACCCACTAAAAAGGACCTAAAACTACGCTAACGACCGCTATTCCTATCCCGGCTCCCCTGTACAGGATACAGCACACCTTATTCTCTTATACCCTTTTTATAAAGAAGAACGAAAAGCCGTGCGGGAAGCCCTAGCAGGCCTACCGCTATCTCTACTGCTATTATTTAGTACTAAAAAAGGAATACAGGCCTTACAGGCCTACCTTTTAGCTACTAAAATAGCCTCGGCAGAGTAGTATAGGGTGTAAACCACGATTCCTGCGGTCTAGTTATATTACTTTGGTTTTTTTATCTATTAGGTTTTATTAGGCAGATTATTACAGAGGATTTCCTTTATATAGTACGCTCTATTTTACTGTACCTAGCTTCTTATAGCCTTTAGCCCTTAGGGCGATAGGCGCCGCGCCATAGCTTTAGGGCTGCATGCGCGTAATGAATTAAAAAAAAAAAAAAAAAAAAAGAAGTAGTGGTAGCAGAGGTAGGCATGAAGCAATTACGAAGTATGGTATCCGACTTACAAAGCACGAATGCCCTCGTCCTGGGACGCTCACCGGACGAAGTTCCGTCTTCGGGGTCATGTCTACCTTATCGACGTTTATCGACGCTAATAACAGGTGGCCCCGGATCTGTCCTGCATGCCCTGCCGGTAGTTCAGATGACTGGGTGGGCGAACGGCGAACGAACGTCTCGTCTCCTCTCGGAAATAAAGACGGGAAAAACAATACAAACAGTGTCTGCCCGGGCAGGAGTTTCAGTATCTGTGTGGCTGTGTACAACATACTGCACGTGTAGGAAGAGATAGCAGATGGCGTGATTACCAAGAGAATTACTATCCCTGTGATGTGCCGGCCGACATGGTTGTACAGCAACGAAATACTGGAATACTGGTGCCGACGAACAACGAACAGAGCAGAGAGACCCGGGAACGTCCATCAGTCAAAGGTGCCAACCTAGTAAAAATGCCCTGCATTCATCATGCACCACCAAATTTACTAAGTATTTGAAATGCAGGGCAACGAGGAAGGCAAGTGAGGCGGCATCCTCGGTCACTGTCCGAGGCGTATAGTAAGGTAAGGTAAGTACAAGTACCTAGTGTCCGCTGCCGTCCTTCGTGGCCGTCTCCGGCATCGGCCTGGCCCCACCCGTGTGCTTGAGCCGCCTCATGTGACCATGTACGTTCTTCGGTACGGAGTACAAGCCGCACTTGCATTGGACCACGTCAAAGGTTATGGTTATGTAGGATACAGGGAAGTAGTGTAGACTTGGCCGTGTAAACGTGGGATATTCTGAAGGATGCCGTGTTTTTGAGAGAAGGATCAACAGAACGTGCATATGCGCACTCCATTCAGGTCCGGTCTTTGATGGGAAGTATAGATAATCAAATAATCTCGGTGACCCCCGCTATCAAACGTGGGGGAACACTGTGGGGTGGGACGGGAAGGGTTGGGGGGACTCCATAAGCTTAATGTTCACATCGGAGATCGATGAGATACGTACCTGACCGAGGTGTCCTTAGCACCTCATCACCGGTACCCGAAAAGGGGCATCTACTTCGTACCCGAGAGACTCGATGCTACTCGATGCTACTCGATGTCATTTGATCCCATGGCTTCGGACATCCGGCCGAGCCCAAAGATCACATCGTCCTCGTCTTCTCCATACGACGTCGAACGGGATTCCTATTAATCTTCACTCGGCTCTCCTCCTCAATCCACCCGAGACCGGCGGCCGCCCGTCCATCTCGGTCAAGGCCGTCGTCTGTCTTTGATGTACGATTCATGACAGAGAAAGAAAAAAAGAAGAAGAAAAAAAAATTGAAAATTTCCCTTCAACCTCCGCTATCTTAATGGTACACTCGGTCTGACCCCAGTAATACACCGACTTGTCCTTTTATCAAACACCACTATTCCCACTGAAAGCAACCCCTGCCCAGCGCTGATGCGTTCCCCGTGATTTTACACCAAGACCAAACAAATCCTGTATTACGAATGCAGGCTCCTCCTCATCGCTTGCGCGTGTCCCTGCCTCTCTTCTTTTTACTCTTCTTCTTATCCTTCGGCAACTCCAGCGGCGTGTCCTTCAGCAGCTCCCCCATCCACTCCACCATGTAGTCGTCGATCGTCCCCATCCGCCGTCCCCACGCATCCACTTCCACCTCGGTCGGCTCACCATCAACCAACGACGACGACGGTGACGCCGCGGCACCAGGGCCCGCCGACTCGGAAAACCGCCCCAGCGCAGAGGGGCCGGGCCCGCCGCCCCATTCCACCGCAGCAGCACCACTCGCCGCGGCGGTGTTGTCGTCCCTGGGCGTGCCCTGCCGCGTACTAGACGCGCCAGACGCCACCGCACTGCTGCTGCCGCCACCGCCGCCCCCGCCACGCTCCAGGAAATCCGCATCATCGGCCTGGATCTCCCTCTCGGCCGCTTTCGCCGCCACCACGTCCTCCTGGTCCTCAGCCTGCGCGAACACCCTGCCGACGTTGCGCGACTCGCTCTTCTCCACGCCGCCGAGCAGCCGGTCCATGGCCGCGTTGGCCGCCGCCATGCCGTCATGGACCAAATCGGCGTCCTCCCTCCCTGCCGCGCCGCGGTCCGCCGACGACGACGATAACGACAACGACGACGACGACGACATCTGGTTGAGGTAGTAATCGGTCGTGAACGCGCCTTCCTGGATGACCACGTCGTCCAGCATCTGCTTCTGCGACGCCTTGCGGAGGATGTTGGCCTCGATGGTGTGCTCGCTGATGAGCCGGTAGATGTGCACGTCGCGCGTCTGCCCGATGCGGTGGCACCGGTCCTGGCACTGCTTGTCCATGGCCGGGTTCCAGTCCTGGTCGTAGAAGATCACCGTGTCGGCCCCCGTGAGGTTGATGCCCAGCCCGCCCGACCGCGTCGACAGGATGAAGCAGAGGACGCGCGGGTCGTTGTTGAACCGGTCCGTCAGGATCTGCCGCTGCTCGACTTTCGTCGCGCCGTCCAGCCGGAGGTACTTGTGCCCGTGGATGTTGAGGAACTGCTCGAGGATGTCCAGCACCTTGGTCATCTGCGTGAAGATGAGCGCCCGGTGCCCGCCCGCCTGGAGTTTTCGGAGCAGCCTGTCGAGCGCTTGCAGCTTGCCGCAGTCGTACTGGAGGAGACGCTTGTCCGGGAACTGGATGCTCAGCCGCATGCGCGCTTCGTGCCAGGGGTCGACGGGCCTCTCCTTGCGCATGAAGGGCGCCCACCGAACGGGAGCCGAGAGCCGGAGGTCTGCGTCCCCAAAGGCGTCCATGGCGCGCCGGCCCAAGACGAGTTCGGTCATGTCTCTCGTCACGACGACGGGCGTCACGCAGCCGAACTTTTGCATCGTCGTCTCCATCATGGCCGCCCTGTCGTTCCTCGTCTGCACCACGGCCCGGAGGAACCCGGAATCCTCGGAAAACCACTGCAGAATCCTTTGCGGCACCTTCGGCCGAGGCTTGCGCGGTCGGGCCTGGAGCCCCAGCGTCAAAAAGTCCGTCAGGCGTTTCCCGTAGATAGGTCGGCGCTGCCCGCGGAGGGCGTTGATGTAGACGCAGTGCTGGAGTTCCTCGAACCGGCGCCACCGACCCAGGCTTTCCAGATACGCCAGGTTGGACGCCACCGTAGACGGGTCGAGGTTCGTGCGAGCCAGATGCGCCCTGGCGTTCTGCGCCTCCCGTAGGTCCATGAGCACGCGGTGGAGGCTCAGCTGCGAGATGCGCTCCGCGATCGTAAGGGACATGCCCTCGTGCTGCGTCGGGATTAGATTGATCACGCCCAAGCTGACCTTCGTCATCGGGTCCGTAGCGAGTACGGTCGTCTCGACGAATCGGTTCGTCAGGTCGTACTCGGCGGCGACGCTCCGTTGCATGCGGAAGGAGGTCATGATGGGTCGGTCGACAAACAAATCCGGATGGTTGCAGACCTTCCGGAGCTGCATCAGGCAGTTGATGATGGACATGTAGTTCCCCGAAGCCAGCGTGTTCCGCGTGTCGGCCCGCGCCAAGAACCCGTCGTACAGTTCCCGTTGGCGCTTGGACAGGCGGCAAAACTCGACGTGCTCGTACTTGGCCGGCATCTGCTTCTCCACGTCGGCCTTGAGGCGGCGCAGGAGATACGGGCGCAACACTTTGTGCAGTTTCGCGATGATGGCGCGGGCCTCGTCGTCCATGGTCTCCCGCCCGCTCTCCAGGATCTGGGCCTCGGGTTTGTGGAACCAGTCGTGAAACTCTTGAAGATCCGCGAACCCCCCGACCCCGTTCTCCGAAGGCATGAGGAAGAAGAGCAGCGACCACAGCTCGGTGAGGTTGTTCTGCAACGGCGTGCCGGTGAGGAGAAGGCGGGAGTGCGTGTTGAATCCCAGCAGCGTCTGCCACCGCTGCGACTTGAAGTTCTTGATGTTATGCGCCTCGTCGAGAATCATGTAGTGCCACCGCCTGCGCTTGAACACCTGCTGGTCCTGCAGCACGAGCTGGTACGAGGTGATGCAGACGTTCCAGACGTCGTCGTTGGTCCACCCCTGCCGTTTCCGCTTGCGCTCCTCCTGAGTGCCGTAGTACGAGAGGATCTTGAACCCGGGACACCACTTTTTGAACTCCATCTCCCAGTTGAGCATGACGCTGGTCGGCACGATGACCAGGTGAGGACCCCAGACCCCGTGATGGCAAGCCAGGTGCGCCAGCAGGGCGATGGTCTGGATGGTCTTTCCGAGGCCCATCTCGTCCGCGAGGATACCGTTCGTGTTGTTGGCATAGAGCCCGGCCAACCAGTCCAGGCCGTAATGCTGGTACTCGCGCAGCGTGCCACGGAGCAACGACGGGATCTCGGTTTTGGGAGTCCAGGACTGGCTGGGTGAGGCGGATCGACTGGTTCCCCCCCCCTTCACTCTCGCAGTCAGGGAGGTTGTCTCCGGGTCAGACGGCTTTGTATCTGAAGTGGATGGCGAGTGCGAGTGACTTCGTGGCGAGGTTGCTGGGCGGGTGATAGCGTCTGTGTCGGAGCTGATAAGCTTGGTGGTAGACTTGGGCGAAGTGACGGACAATTCTGGAACGACGGGTTCGATTCCATTAGGCGGATCTATCATATCGACATCTGCGTCGACAGGCTGGTCCAGTATTCGCTCTGCCGATTCTGCGGTGCTTTCTTGCCCTTCAGGGGCTGGCGTTATCCCGTTTGTCACGGGAGGAGGTTCAGCTGTTGACGTCTTTGGTGTCGAGGCCGCTTGGCCAGGCGTTCGCGTTGTTGGCGTTGGCGTTGGTCGGCCGGTCGAGGTGGGGTCGGGGATTTGGACCAGATCTGGCTCTTCATCATCGTCTTCGAAACCACCAGGACCATCGTCTCTCTTCTCGCCATCCCACGACGCTAGGGGCAACGCCTGGGGGGTGGCGGATTGTGCGCCCTCGGCCGTATCGCCGTCGGGCGCCTGCTGAATGGATGTGTCGTCTCGCTGGTCGGGCGAGTCGGACGTGGCCTCTGCCTGCAATTTCTTCAACTCGGATTGTCCAAAGAAGAGACCCAAAAGCCCAGCAGGCTCTCCTTCTTCCTCAGAATCCTCTTCTACTGAGTCTTCTTCGTCTCCACTCTCATCGCTGTCCTCCTCTGTAGAACCCATATCATCATCCATGTCAATCGATTCATCGCTTGTTTGGTCAGGCTCGTCGGCGTTTACACTGGTACCAGGACTGGCCGCCGCCGTGCCATTAGGAAGCGGTTTGTCGGGTTTGGGCTCCAGTTTATGCAGTTCCGGCAAGTTGGCATACTTCGCTCGCAACTGTTCCTGGGTGAGAGTCTCGTCGGCGGCATCCGTCAAGCCGCCCTCGCTGGCTTCCTCCTCCTCGTCTTCGTCGGAGGAAGACATGACGTCGTCGTTGTCTTCTTCGTCGCCTGTGGAATCAGAGGAAGCATCCCCGTCGTCAGATGTAGATTTTTCATCGTCGCTGTCGTCTATATCACCATCCAGGTCTTCATCGTCGAGGTCCATCTCGGCATCCTCTTCCTCGTCCTCGTCCTCGTCCTCGTCGCCGTCGTCGTCGTCGTCGTCGTCCTCTTCCGACTCTAGCTGCCCCCGCTGCGCCTGCAACTTCTGCTCCGAGAGAGTGACCGCTTCGTTCAGCGCGGCCTTGACGCGGCGCTGTTCTTCGACTTCCCATTCCCGGAGTCTCCGTCGGTTGATCTCGGCGCGCACGTTCTCCCAAGTCCCGTACATAGACCTCATCACCCCGCGGTACCGGGCGATCCAGGCCTCGCGAGCCTCCGCCTCGAGCTCCTCGGCGGACTTGGGTTGCTTGCGTAGCCAGGCGTCTCGGCAAGCCTCGGCCAGCTTCTTGGCCTGCGACCGGTGTCTTTGTTGCTCGGCGAGCATGAGTTTGCGGAAGTTCGTGGCGGCCCGGACCATGTGATCCAGGTGCGCCCACTGGCGAGGCGGGTCGTCCGCGGGTTCTGGGACGAAAGCGGAGCACCGCTCCCTCGATAGGATACCTCCTGGCTCGACTGCCTCTTCGACGCGAAGTATTATGCGGGCATCCTGCTTGGCCATGTCCTCCGTATACCTCTCATCCTCGGCAACATAACCACCATCTTCCAGCGGGATATCGCCTGCCTTTTCCCAGTATTCTTCAAATGTAAGACCGATCTTGGCTCGTTTGCCGACTTGGCCGGGGTGGAGCAGAGGTATGTTACCTCCCACACCTCGGACACGAAGCCGTATTCTCGTTGGGCGGGCGGGGAGTTCTTGTGTGGTGTGCCTTGCGTCGTCTCGGGTGGAGGAAGGGGGGGTAGCAGTGGTGTCGCCGTCCAAAGAGGTTCGCGTAGGTTTCCTCGCACGATTGGAGTGTCTGGTCGGTTGAGTCGGCGGTGACGGGGTTCTTTTCCAAGAGGCTCGAGAAGACGAACCTCGTGTGGATGACTTGGAGGACTGGGGAGCTTTCGCCGAGGTAGCTTTGCCCGTGCTCCTCGAGACATTGTTCGAGCGAGGGGTGGGTCTCTGTTGGGAGGAAACATGGCCGTTTGTCGAGGCGGGGCTGTTCTTGATACGCTTTGTGGGCGTGGTGCTGGTGCCTTGGGTTTCTTGAAATACGGCGCGTGAGGTTCGCGTTAGCTCATAGCTAGGAGATGGAGATTGCTGGTCCTGTTGTTTGGGAAGGGCGAGGTTGATCCTGCCAGATTTGCGGCGACCATTCTCGGTGTATGATGTTGGACCATCGGCGATGACTTTCTTCCAGGGAGGAGAGATCTTTTTCCCCTTGACGCGTGTCGAAGGAGGTGGTGGGGTCTGATCGAGACGCCTCCTCTTTGATGGATGCTCATGTTCGTCAGCTTCTTGCTGGTCAGATGCTGTGGGTTGTTCGTGTCCGGGTGGTTGTGTTGGTGGGTAAGAATCGAGATCGAAGTCGAAATCGAAATCATGGGCATTTGTCGTCGCATCGAGGTCACTAAGCTCAGACGAGGAATCTTGGAGAGCATCGGTCGACGGTTTCGAGCCCTCGATAATGGTGGGCGCGGGTTGAAGGACGTGATTAGGGGTGGGAGAGGACTCGTCTCGATGCGCGATGTTGGGTGACGCGGTCTCGGTCATAATAGCAACGGGACGGAGGAGAGAGGGAGGGTCGGGGTCTCGACGAAAGGGGCATTTGAGGGGATAAAAATTAGATCTGGGAATTCGTCATAATCCAAGAAACTCTATGTCGAAGTCTGAGCATGTCCAGGGCACGGTGTCGCGAGTTGTGACGGAATTTGATGGATTTCGGGACGATGCCTGCAAAAAGTTTTGAAGCCGGGAATTTTTGGGGGTTGACTGGGGATGGTGATGGAGTGGATGGAGTGAACGAGTGAACGAGTGGACCCCCCCCTTGTTTGCTTTGGTTGTTTGGTACTGGGAGGTACATACCTCTAGGTTTTAGAGATTACCTCAGCGCACTCACACTCTGACCACTCAAATGCGTCAATGGACACGTGATTCACCAACTAAACTGAACGCCTCAGGCACCAACATCCATCTCCCTCAGACGGTAATTCCTGTGCAATCATCAAGTGAAGCCCGCGGCTACATCACAACCACAACGACAACCCACTGAATCAATTGGGCTGCGTCTAGACCACCAATTGGCCACGGCAAGTCTTCTTTCTTCCTTTTGTTATGCCATTATGACAATTCTACTCGGAGAACCCTCCAACTGACCAGCCATCGATTAACCCGTCCCAGATGCTGTCCCGACGTATCGCGCGGGTGTCGACCATCCGCAGTGCCAGTGCTGCCCTGGCTGGCCCGGCCCGACAACTACCCGCCATCCAGCAACGACGTACCTTCTTCCCCGATGGCATCAACGACCAGAAGACCATCGAGGCCAAGTACCCCGACTATCCGCAGCTGACGGAGGCCGAAGACCCCGGCATGGTTCGTCATACAACCTTTTGAATTGGAAGACAAAAGAGGAAGAAAAGAAGGGACAAAAAAAAAAGAAGAAGAGACGGGCGGATATGGGGTGACCATATGGAGAGGCGACAGCAAAGGCTAACCTTTTACGTGCGTTCGGGCAGAACGGCGGCTACGTCAACCCCCCCTTCATCAAGCGCCAGCACCGCGACCCCTACGGAGACTGGTGGGACAAGCAGGAAAGGCGCAACTTTGGCGAGCCCGTGCACGAGGACAACGACATGCTGGGTATGTTCTCGCCCTACGAGTACACCTGGACCACCACGGGTCCCGGCCTGGCCATGATTGGCACCTTTGTCGCCACTTTCCTGGTCGTCCTCGGTACCGTCTACGCCGCCTATCCCGACAAGCGCGCCTTCCCGAGGGAGTTTGAGGGTGGTCTGGAGAGGGAGCTTGGCGGAGCGAGCGCTGTCAGGGTGAGTTTTTTCCGGGGGGGGGGGGGGGGGGGGAATGTTTGAACGTTTGAACATAGCGCTGACTACGAGCAGGCCAGGCAAGAGGGCGATCCGGAGCCATAAATCGAGAAAGGAAACAGCGTCCAGTGGGAGGAAGAGGAGGAAGAGAAGATCAACTGTGTACATATACAGCGGTGGTGGAAGAGACCTACTTTCTTAGAGTAAGGTATTCCTTTTGTCGTTTTACTTTTTACTCACTCGTGCTCGGTCTTTCACGACCTCATTTCCCATACGTGCTTTTGACTGCTCATGTGTTTCGGTTCGCCTCTCGAGGGGTTTGATTTGCAGCGCAATGTGCGGAGTACAGCAGATGCCCCTGATTCCTCGATCTGTCTGGTGTCCAGTCAGGGGGGTGATATACGGAAGCAGAGCAGATGCGCGGCTTGAAAGGAAACGACGAGGGAGAGTATAGAGAGAATAAGAGAGAAGCAACAACCCGGGAGATGACATGTCACTCGAAGTCTTAACCTTCTACTGGTCTGTCTCCTGTGCTGTTTTGAATTCTAATCGGACGGATTTGCTGTTCCCTCGCGCTTGGAGCAATGCATCTCTGGTCTGCTGAAAGGTTCATGGCTTGAACCTACCAAAGGTAAAGTCTTTCCCCTACGCATACTTTTACCTACGTACGGCTTTGCTTCCACGCGACTTCAGCTTCTTTTTAGACCAAAGTCCATCATCATTCATCACCCATCATATCACCCATCATATCACCCATCATATCACCAGCTTCAACTCTAGGACCTTTGCCGACTTGGAGAAGTCTCATCGTGGCCGCCGATCAAGTTTCCCAGCATTGCCCAACATCATCTTTTCTCCTTTCTGCTTTCCCTTTTCCTTTTGTCCCCCCCGCTTTATTTCTTCTTTGTGCTGTCATCTTCCGTCGAGTTCCCCCGCCATGCGATACGACGATTGGGACGTCCTCCTCTTCCCTGGGGACAGCAAAGTTCCCATCAAGGAGTTCAAGGTCGGCTGTCAAGTCATCAACGATCATGGTACGTCTGTTTTGCTACTGGCCATTCCTATTGCCTGACATCGCTGTGTGATGTGGCTCGACCAAGCTGACAATTCTCCTCAGAATTTAGCCGCCAACCCGGCCACTACAGCCTTCTCCCCGTTATGACTTGCTTCATCCCGAGTCTCTCGGCCGGTGAGCCTTTCAGCATCTCATGCCATTCTTGGCACACGCCCACCCTCAGTCCTCAGAGCCGAAGCTATACCAGGCATCCCGAGTTGATCAAGTATGAGGCGCGAGTCTTCATTGACGGTGCCCTCGTAGCGTAAGCAGAGCCTGTCATCTCATACCAAATTCCCCGTCGTCATGATCCGGTTATTGAAGGCGTTACTCACGTTGTAGGGTTCTGTAGTTCATCTATATTTGACGGAGAAGGCGCATGGCCGTATGTCATCAACAGCTCCTTTCGTACGACCTTCCTTGGCCCTTTTTCGACTCGTGAAAGACGGGATTGAACTGACGCACCGCAATAAGCATAGATTTCAGCAAGACTGGCGAGCTCAACCCCCTTACATTCCCCGCTTTCGATGAGCAAGTCATCCACCAGAACTACTGGAGCGCGGCCGACACCTGGGGCCGCATCAAGCTGGTCATCAGCGAGGGCTTCGTTCGCGATTCTGCTTTTCTTTTCCCCGGCATGGAGCGTGTGAAGAATATCGTTGTCTTTTCCTTCCAGCATGCACCCCTCCGTATGTCACCTCTCGCTCGTCCCCCCAGTGCCGGAATTCTCCCCATCGCTTTTGGCTACAGTAAACAATTGACTTACTTTACCATCTCTTCCGACTTGACAGATGTCCTCGAGGCCGCTTCCATCGCGTGGCCTTGCCCCTCGATGTGGCGTTGTACACCTCTCACCGCCATATCGCCGGTGCCCACGCAACGTCCGGAGGAAGGTTCCGATTCGCACCTCCATTCTCCTCGTCGCCAGGCCGCCGCCTCGGCTCGTATTCACACCGCCAGCGTGGCCGCCGCAGCTGCCAAGGGGATCAAGGACCCCCGGGATCTTCCTCGCGTATTTGGGACGCAGTATCAAACGCCTGGCCCGTACGTGTCGAGCTCCCAAGCTCCGGCACCCAATCCCATCGGCGCGTCGGCTCTTGATTGGGGCCGCAACCTCAACAAGGATGTTGGGACGACGGCGGCCGGTCTGGGCTACGGCGACGCACGCTTTGCTGCCTATCGACATCCTGCGAGGGAGGGAAGCCTCGCGACGTCGGGGGATCTGAGCATGCCGGACTATGCCTCCTCCTCTTACCACGGCGGCCATGCCAACATGCCGTTCCAGGGTGACGGAACCTTTGAAGGCGACCGAAAGTCCGAGGTGATGTATCAGCGGCGTGGAGGGGACGGCACCGCGGTGCCATGCAGAATGCATACGAACACACCGATTGGTAGCGAGGGCGGTGGATTGACAAACTGTGAGGCCAAGCTTCCTCTTTCTTCCCTTTTCGCCACGCCCGCCTCGTAACGTGTCCATTTGTTTTATGTCTCTCTTTTTTTTTTCTCTCTCTCTCTCTCTGCAATACTAATCAACGGCCATGGCCATTTTTTTCAGGTGCGTCGTACCCGCAAACGTACATAGACACGGAACTCGCGGCCACGCTGGCCAACTCCTTTATCGAACTCCCAGCCGGCCCCTTGTCGGACGGCAAATGCAGCCCCATGGTCCCCGCGTTCGAGGTCAAGTCACGCAAGGAAAACCAGGTCGGCTCATCCGGCGCGCGTGTCTCCTCTGCTGCTGCTGCTGCCGCCGCCGCCGCCGGCGCAACTCGGGAAATATCGACGCATGGCGAGGTTGAGAGACGAGTCTTGTCTCGGGAGACTCTCGGGCTCCCGCCCACGGAAGCGACGGTGCGTCGAGCCTCCACGAACGAGAATGTCAAGACACAGGCCTGGAACATGGTCGACCGTTCGACCTCTATGGCGTCACACGGCAGTACGAAACAAGGTGGTGCCGGTCTGGATAGGGATAGGGGGGTCAGAGGAGTGCGAAACTTTACCCCGGCGTCCACGCGAGCCATTGACTTGGAGGATGAGCCTCAACGGTACAGTCGCGTACCCAGCTTGGCCGAGAGGCTTAGCGCGATCGAATGAAGGAGGTAGAGGCATCGAGAGTGATTCAACGTCGGGATGAACATGGGGACAATCGTTAGTACATTTTTAGGAATGGGGATGGCATGAGCGATGGTTGAGTTGAACAACAGTACCTTAGGTACCTAGACTAGGTAGACGTTAATCTGACTGTGTATCACATGACTCGGCGGCTTTCGGGTTTACGGGTTACTTACGACCGTACTTTACGTTACGTAAGGTACAGGGGAAGGTGATTACCAAGCAACAGAGAATAACACAAGCCACAAATATCGGATACCGGAAAACGGAAATGGAAAACGGTTCCCTCATCACGTCACCATCACCACTCGACTACGCTTCTTCCCCCCCCCCCCCACTTCGCTCCCGGACTTCACAATCCGACCCCCTCCTTTGCCTCATTAACGTCACTAGGAGTCCATTCCGGACCCTTCCTGACAAATAGCAAACCGGGCCCCGCCCGTCTGTGGTCATGAATATCGATGGGGACTGGGACCGGCAAAGTCTCGAAAGAGGAACGGTCTGAATATATAGGAGACATGGGCCCAGGAGGACAGAGCTTGGCGGTCTTTCCCCGCCATCACCTTCACCTTCATCTTGACCCTCAACTTCACCTAGCAGCTACTTGTGTTGACATCTCCACGGATTACGCATACTCAGACCGTTCTATAGCAGGCCGACAACGATGAAGGTCGCCATCGTCCATCCCGACACCTCGGTCGTCGTAACCGATTGCCCCGTCCCCATCCCGGGACCAGACCAAGTCCTCATCAAGGTCGCCGTGGCTGGCACGAACCCCAAAGACTGGAAACTGCCGTGGTGGCAGAACAAGCCGGACAACTCGGGCGACGACGTGGCGGGCACCGTCGAGTCGGTGGGTGACGGCGTGGTCGGTTTCGCCCAGGGCGACCGCGTGGCCGCTTTCCACGTCATGCTCACCCCCGCCGGTGCGTTTGCGGAGTACGCCCTCGCCCCGTCGCACACCGTCATGCACATGCCCGCGTCCGTTTCCTTCGAGGAGGCCGCTACGTTACCGTTGGCCGCGTACACGGCTGCCGTTGCGCTTTTCCACCAACTCGAGTTCCCTTCGCCCTGGGACGCGGCCTCGGCGGCGCGGGATGATGACGGGACGCCGGGAAGACCGCTCGTCGTCTACGGCGCGTCGACCGCGATTGGCGCGTACGCGATCAAACTCGCCCTGAGGGCGAACATCCACCCCGTCATCGCCGTGGGGAGCAAGAACAGCGCGTTCGTCGCGTCGATGCTGGAGGCGGCCCGCGGGGACGTCCTGGTCGATTATACCGCGCACGCGACGCCGGAGTCTCTTGTCGAGGCGATACGTGCGGCTGCGGGGCCCGACGGTGCCAGGGATGTCTTCGACGCGGTGTCGGAGCAAGGGACCTTCGTTACGCTGAGTCGTGCTATTGCCGGCCCGCCGGACGATAGGGGAAGGAAACCGCGCGTGACGGTCGTTTTGCCGGGGAGTGATTACTCGGCGGCGGACCCGAGCGTGGATGTGGTCGTTACCAGCGTTGGGCTCGTGCATAAGCCGGAGGAGAAGGAGCGGTTGTTCGGCGCCGTGTGGGGGCGTGTCTTTGAGAGGGGGCTGCAGGCTGGTTGGCTTGAGCCGCATCCCCATGAGGTTGCCCCTGGGGGGTTGAACGGGCTGGAGGGGGCTTTGAAGGCGTTGAGGGAGGGGAAGGTGCGTGGGAAGAAGATGGTTGTTCGGATTGGCGAGACGGAGGGGGTTGGACAGTAGAGGAAGTATTTAGGACGGCATTACGAATCGTAAACAGTACAAGCGACTGAGGACGAAGCCATAGGGGAAGTACATCATCACATGTCTCATCTCATATTACGTCTTGCAGACGCTACTTTAGGTAAGGTACATGTACCTTATACCTAGTATATACACATGTCCCATTCACCCCGAGGGAGAAAAACATCATTGTACACCCAACCAACTCTTGATAACATAGGTAAGATTCCTAGGAAAGAGTCCTTGGCCCGTTTTGATTGATTGAATTTCGCTTTCCTCTTTCGAAAGACTTCTCTCATCCGACTTACTTCTTGGCACCGCCACCGCAAGGACCAGAGTGGGAGTGCGAGTGGCCATGGGCAGAGACACCAGTCCTCTTGAACAGGCGAGCCCGCTCAGCGGCCGCATAGCGCCTGGCAAGGTCGACGGGCTCGAGCGAGTCGAAGCTGATGGCGTACTTGGCGACCGAGTTGGCGATGCTGAGGGTGTTGACGTAGAAGGCGTCGTGGTCGAGGTTGTTGATGTCGTCGCCGATGAGGTGATAGTTGGGGTCGTAGGCGACGCCGGCCTGGCCGCCGAAGAGCGCCGCCTCTTCGGCCGTCTTGGGCTGCTCGGCGCCCGTGAAGAGGCCGCCCGAGGGGATGCCGTTCTCGATGAAGGCCGCGTAGTCGGACCGCCCGCTGAACTCGGTCGGCACGTGCGGCAGGCCCACGCTGTCGTAGAACTCCTCGAAGTCGCGCTCCAGGACGTCGGAGCCGGGGGGGCCGGTCAGGTTGAAGGCGCCGCCGTCGCCGTCGTAGATGCCGAAGATGTAGTTGGGGCTGGCGATCTGGGGGGTGTCAGTTTTGGGTGATGATAGAGTGGAAAGGGGGAAAAAAAGGAAAAAGAAAAAGAAGAAAAAAACGTACCATGTCAAAGTTGAGGTAGGCGCGGATCTTGGACAGCTCAACGTCCGACTGGTTCAGCTGCCTCATGTAGTAGTACGAGCCCAGCAGGCCATACTCCTCGGCACCCCAGAAGGCGAAGCGGACGGCGTTCTTGACGCGGAAGTGGGTGAGGGCCAGGGCCACGTTCAGCACGCCAATGATGCCGGAGCCGTCGTCGCTGCATTCCGTTAGCATCAAGGAGAGAGAGGGAGAGAGGAGAAGAAGAAAAAAAAGGGACAAGGGACATACTTGATACCAGGACCGGCAGACACCGAGTCAGAGTGACCGCCCAAAACGAGAACATTGTCGTGGTCGCCCCCCTTCGTCTCAGCAATGACGTTAAAGTTGACGCGCTCCTCAACGACAGCATCAATCTGGAGATCGACAGTGACCTCGCCCGCCTCAAGTTTCGCAATGATGGCCTGGCCATCCTCCATGCTGATGCCCACGACGGGGGCGTACTCGCCGAAAGCCTCGCCCAGCGTGCCGCTCAGCGTGCCGGCGACGTTATTGAAGATGATGAGGCCCAGGGCACCCGCAGCCTTGGCGGAGACGGACTTTGCGGCAAAAGTGCACTCGCCACGGCTCACCATGGCGACGTTGCCGGCCACCTCGGCGGGGAAGCTGTCCGGGGTGCAGCCCAGGCCGGGGACGAGGACGAGGGGTCCCGTGGCGGAGCCGCCGGGGGTGTAGGTCATGATGCCGGCGGCGACGGTCTCGCCATCGATGGTGAGGGTGGCGTCGCCGTCGGCGAAGATCTCGGTGAAGGGCTGCTTGACGACGTCGAAGTAGTTGGTGGCCACGAGGGAGTCGTAGAGGTAGTCGACGGTGGCGTTGTGGCCGCCACTACCAAACACGCGGTTGCCGTGGTGGGCGTCGGCGAAGTCCTGGAGCTTCTGGGCGCCCGAGAGGAGGTCGTCGAGGGTGAGGAGGTCCTCGAGCTTCTCGTAGTCGACGTACGGCTTGCAGTCCGCCGAGGCGCTGACTAGGGCGGGCAGCACCAGGGCCAAGGAGGCGAGAGAGCCGGTGTTCCTCATCTTGGGGTGTTGTTGGAGGATGGTGGGGTGAAGAGAGACGAGAGTAACGACACTTGAGCACTGACTCGGCGAAGAGCAGCACAGCAGGAGAGGGGGAAGAGAAGGGGCGGGAGGAAGGGAGGGAGGAGAGAGGAGAGAGGAGACAGGAGACAGGAGAGGAGATAGGTAGAGGATAGGGAAAGGGAGTCCTGTCTTTCGTTCCTGTCCCGACAGAGGGGATCAAGGGTCAATTTGTATTGTGCCACCGCCGACTACGGCCCTGGTAAGACATGTGGGTTTGGGGCTGGGAAGCTGGGGAGCTGGGGAGCTGGGGAGCTGGGGGAGCTGTGACTGACCCCTGGGCCCATACAACGGTACACGTACAGGGTGATGGAAGAGCTATCGAACGACAGGGTGACCGACCCGACTCGTGCCAATCCGACGACTGCGCACCAATCGTTATCGCGACAGCACTAGCAAGCACAATGGGGACAACCGAGGCGACCAGAAAAAGCGGTCGAATAGGGGTAGTTGCGCAGGTGATCGCATGGATGCCGTGATCAGAAGCCAGGCGGCAAACCCCAATCCCCCAAGCCACAAATTAACAGACAAAAAAAAAAAGAACAAAAGGAACAAAAGTTCTGGGGTCGCGATCGGCAGCAGATGGTTACTGCTTCGGCCAGCTGCCTGTTTGAGTAAGGTGTCAGCCGCCCTGACATGGTTCCCGTTGAGGCCCGCATGGTGGATGCTGACTCGACTGGTCCATGGGCTTGTGTGTGCCTCTAGCTGATCACCGGAACGGGAAGGTCGTAGGACAGGAACCAGAAGAGGGGCGGCTGCGGCTGGTCTCGCTGGTTTGACGAATCTATCTTTGCCCCTCACACTGGAGGAATGAGGCCTTGGGCTCCACGCGAGTCTTCTGCGTGTTCTCCATGTAAGACAATAAGATGTGTCTGCGAAGGGAGCTTCATCATCGATAGCTTGCAATGCGCGTTCACATAGTTCGGGTTTCGTTTCCGAGAGGGCTGTAGGTTGTAGTGTACGGAGTGCGGTGTCGGTTGGTGTTCCTAGATTTGCACGTGTAGATGAAGCATGAAGCCTCATCACGGAGATCTGCCCAGATATGGGTAAGGTAGGTACCTTATGGGAGACATGTCGAGATACACGTACAAGCGCATTAAGATCAACTCTATCTTAGGTACCCTAGAAAAAGAACATCGAAAAAAGCAGGTGAAAGAGGCTCAATTTAGGTCAATTTAGAGAACTCAGCCGTCGCGTACCTTATCCGTGCGCCACATTTCTTAGTATCGGTACTTCGCAAATGGGGCCGAACTTACCAACGCCTCCTCCCACCGGCACGAGATACGCCACCAGCGCCCAAGAATTTGAGAATTCGCCACCTTCCCACTTTAGACGAGCCGGTGGTGAGAGTGGAGACGCGTCCAATCACCGTTACGAATCATGCTTGGTAGGTATCCCGTACCTTACCTTACCTTCCAGGTTGTCTGAGGTAAGTGCGAAGTACTTCCAGTTTGTAATTACTCATGTACTCCGGTCTCGGGTCAAGGTCTTATCGGGAGCAAGCAAAGTATCTTACGTAAGTTGGGTAAAACAAAGTAATAAATAAGATAATACAATAAAATAAAATAAAATAATGAATGAATGAAAGGTCACAAAGAAAAGAAAATAAAGACGAAATGAATTTTGTAGATTCTCCGACTTCAGATCTTCATCCAAATTGACATGTAAAAACATGGTCTATCGCTATATACTATCATTCGATCAATCGCTACATATACCGCGTCGTCATGCTGGAAGCTCGAATGTGTCTTCCGCGCCAAACGCCTCGACCCTTCTAGTAGTCCCAGCTGTGTCTAAAGCCGAGAGAGGTGGTGGTGGAAATAAACCAAAGTAGTAGAAAATTGATGCTGCTGCTGATGATGGTGACCGACGATGATGCTGTATCGCTCGGCGAGAGAGACTGGGGCAGAGAGAGAGAGAGAGAGAGAGAGAGAGAGACGCGACTCCCCGACGCCATAAACCCCTTTGCAAAATAACAGTACACAAAATGCCGCTGTCGCTGCCGCTGCCGTGACCATGCTGCCGACCCCATTGACCGGAAAGATGAAATAAAAACAAAATAAAAACGCTGATGCTATACAGAACCCAAGTCCTCCGCTCCCTTTTAGGCCTTGTTGTCCGCCGCACCCTCCGTCTCGCCAGGCTTCTTCTTGATGTTGCGCCACTCGATAAGAGACGCACCAATGAACGACACAGCCGCCGCAATGGCGCTGACGAAGAAACACCTCGTAAGGGCCGAGTTGTACACCGCCTGCAGCGCCGGCCGCCACTCCGGCTCCAGCATCCCCAGGAGCGTCTCGGCCGACAACCGCGCAGCCAGCTCCGGGTCGAGCATCGGGACGTTGAGCCGGACGCCTTCCTTGAGCAGGTTGTTGAACACGGTGTTGCCGACGGTCAGGAACATGGTGCTGCCGAAACCCTGGACGAAGACCATGACCGCCGTGCCCGTCGGCACGTCCCGGATCGGGAGCACCGTCTGCATGGCCATCATGGGCTGCTGCAGGCCCGCGCCCACGCCGGCGCCCGCGAGCATCGGGAACAAGACCCACTGCCACGTCGGCGCGTCGGGCTGGAACGTCGACATGAGCCCGTAGCCCACCGCCATGAGGATCGACGCCGACATCATCACGGGTTTGATGTAGCCGAAGTAGCTGATCACCACGCCCGACACGAGCGAGATGACAATGTCGGCGCCCAGCATGGGGAGGATGCGCAGGCCCGAGTCGATGGCGTTGGTGCCGCGCACGCCCTGGAACCAGGTCGGGAACCAGTAGATGGTGAGCAGGAACGCCGCGCCCAGGCAGAAGGCGAAGATGCCCGACGCCCAGACCGTGCGCTGGTTGAGCAGCCGGGGCGGGACCGTGGCGTTCTCGCCGTTCCAGTGCTGGATCCACCCGAAGACGCCCACCATGACGGCGCCGGCCGCGAGGAGGCCGATGACCTCGGCCGACCGCCACGCGAACCGCTGGCCGCCCCACTGGAGGGCGAGCAGGATGCAGATCATGGCGCATATGAAGGCCAGACTGCCCAACGGGTCGAGCGTCTTGAACCGTTCCCAGGCGCCGATGCTGGGGATCTTGCGCTGAGGGTCGTGGAAGCAGAAGAACACGACGACCAGGGCGATGCCGCCCTAATGAGGACTGTCAGCGACGATGATAATAACGACGAAAAATATCAAAGCTGGCCGACTTACCACGGGGAGGTTCATCCAGAAACACCAACGCCAACCAATCGTCTCGGTAAACAGACCACCCAAAAGCGGACCAGCGACCGACGAGATGCCGTACATGCTACCGATACAACCAGCGAAAATGGGACGGCGTTCCAGAGGCACGGAGTACGCGAGAATGACGAGGGCGCCGACGAACAGCCCGGCTCCGCCGATGCCCGCGATAGCACGCCCAATGATGAGGACGATGCTGCTCGGGGCGACGGCGCAGATGACGCTGCCGACCTCGAAGATGGCGATGCAGATGAGGTACATCCACTTGACGCTGAAGAAGGTGTAGAGCTTGCCGACGAACAGGTTGAGGGCGGTGGCGGTGAGGAGGTAGGCGGAGCCGTACCAGCCGACGTCGGCGACACTGTTGAACTCGTCTGTGATGGTGGGGAGGGCGGTAGCAATCATGGCGTTGTCTGAAAAGGTAGCAAAAGTTAGTTGAGCGAAGGGGGAAAGAACAAGGAAAATGGAAGGGACCAAAAAAAAGAAAGGAAAACAAAAAAGAAGAAAAAAAAGAACAAAAAAAACGTACCCAGAGCCAGGAGCAAGACGCCCAAGCAGAGCGCCAGAATGACGAGAGCCAGCTTCAACCCGTTGAGGTAGACGGCGCCGTCCATGTCATCGTCGTCAGAGTCGTCGTCGACATCCGCCAAACGGTCCTGTCCGTCCTTGGCCACGGGTGCCGGGAACGCCCCGTTGTCGGCGAGGTACGAATTACTCGGCGTCGTGGCGGCCGACCACTGCGACATGGGCCTAGGCCTAGGCGCATCATACCGTGGCGGCGGCGTAGCTTCTACCTCTAGGAACGGGTTTTTGTGGTTCATGAGCTCTGCGGCGAACAAGACCGATTTCCTCAGCGACTGGCGTTTCTCCGAGGCCGAGAGACCGAGTAGCGGCAGGTCGTACTCGAAGGAGGCGACGCGGGCTATGGGAGGCAACCTGGGAGCCTCGACGCTGTAGGGGGCGGCGCGAGGGGGAGGTACGCCCGAGGCGGCAGCGGCGGCGGCGGCGGCGGCGGCATTGGCGGCGGCAGCACCGCAGGTGCAGGGCTTGAACGGCGGTGGTTGTTGGGGCGGTACATAATCTAGGTCGAATTGCTCTTGAAATCCCAAGCGGCCTTTGGAGGTCGACTTGGATGACTTGGACGACTTTGTCGACTCGTATGACGGCACTCGGCCGTGGGACTTGCGACTCAACATGACGCAGCCGTGCAGTCCGATTCACTCGTTCAGAAACGTGAGAGGGGAAGAGGAGAGTTCAGAGTTTGTGCTATTAATGAGGGGGGAGGGGGAGAAAGGCGGAAGGGGGTCAATATACCCCGAAGGGTGGTCGAGGTTGGGTGAAGGGAAAGGAAGGCTAGCTAGGTTGACCGATGAATGACCCTGCGCTATTTGTTGCTGTCGAGTTTAGAATATATTAGGCAGAACGGTCGGAAATGGGAAAATAACATGGAGACAGGGAGATTCTTGGATATATATGATTAGCCAAGGTTGTGGACGGCACCATCATCCTGGGGGTAGCGGTGGTGGCAGCGATGGTGGCGGCTCGTCATGGCCGGTCGGTGTAGAGCGATCCTTGACTGGGGTCTCCCGCCCCACGTGCGTGTGTGTGGGTGGGAAAAAGAACAGGAGTCTGCCTGGAATTCGTCCGTGGGCAAAGGGCGAGGGCGACGGCGAGTTGAGTTGGGATGGGTAAACCCGATGCTGAGAGTGCACGGAGGGACGGTTCAGAGCTGGCGGAGAAGAACCGCGAGGGGCCCAGCGTTGGGTAACGGCACCCCCGCGCTCGCGCTAGCCGCACGTCATGTAAGACCCATGCTCATGCGGTCCAGGTCCACACGGCTCAGCTTTGCGCGATTCGTCATGTCAATCTGCCTCTCTTGACACCCGATGAGTTACTTTGTTCTCGGATGAGCTCATGGGATCGAGAATATCGGAGACCTGTTGAGTCGCAGACTGTGTAGAAACGAGAGAGAAGCAAGGACCAGAACGGAACCAGGTCTCGACATTATGCGGCGATCCATTGTTCGTAGATTCGAAGTGACAACTTCGAAAGAGGAAGCCACGTGAGAGACAGGGTCAGGGTCGGAATCGGGGTTCGCGGTCTACTGTTGCCCTGTTGCTGCGCAATCTGTCCGGACCGTTATCCAGGATAGAGATGAACCGCCTCGCCGGTGGCAATCTTGATCTGTGTAGAAAAAAAGGTGAGATCTCCTTCCTCCGTAGCTTCGGCTCCAAAGTCCCCTCTAATCGATGCTCAGATCGACATGGGACATGGGGGTGTGGCGTGTGGTCAAATCTGCAGGGCGTGAAAGAGTGAAGGATGTGGATGTCGGGGGTGGGCATTTTCGTCTGGTTGGTGAGGAAATGGCTATAGAGTCGGGAAAGTGGACGGATTATCCTATTGCCGAATCCGATCCCCCCCCTCTCTCCGCGCTCTGTCCAAGCAACCTCCGAAACCTCACGGCAACGCGATACCCGATATGGCGGATCATCTCCACTAATTCCTTAATCTGGATACCTGCGTGGCCCACTCTAAAGCTTGTCTACATGTGTGTACCCACATAAGAACCAACTTCCAGAAGCCTTCTCCCGCCAACGTGTTTTCCAAGGTCCAAGGTCGTCTCCGTCAGCGTGCTCTTTTCCCAGGTTGACACTTACCATGTCGGTCTTCCTTCTTACTGGGCTCTTGGGGTGTTTTTGCCACCACGGCCAACCCGATAAGTGGTGTGGCCTGCTCTCGGAGTGCTCAATACGGCCTTCGGAGGTCCTGCAAGAAAGCATTCACAATCACTGCTCAGTATTCGCAATCCACACCAGTCCACAACTCCACCTAGCTCTACCAACGTACTCAAATCGACCCAGCTCACAGCTCCGGAAAGTTTACTTAACTCCCTAGTTCCTAGTTCCGGAGCGTCTCCGGTTTCCCCAGTGACTTTTGTATGGAACAGGCCTTTCTCCTCGCACTGGTCTCTGTCATGAGTCTTCCCGGCAAACTATGTAAGCTCGCAGTACCTCCGTCCGCCTTTCTTCGCCGCACCCTCTTCATATTTTTCTTTCCATTTTTCATTCGACCTCGGGATTCATTTAACCAGACCCTCACCGGACTACTTATCACAGGATTGCTAGATGACCCCAACATCTTACGGTTTCCCACTACTGACTGACCATTGCCACTGTCATCCCAAATTTGAAATGATAGATATCTCATTGAGGCTACCTATTATGCCGCCGTTGACCATCCCTTTCGCTTTTTCATAAATATAATAAATATAATATCACGCATCGCCTCGGACGTGATGTGCCTGGGTTGCCACAATCCTGCCCCGTTTAGATATCCATCCCCACACTATAGCTCAAGTGGTGTTTCTATTTTCTACTTGATCTTCGCCTCCAAGTTCGGGTGTATCCGTGCTCAATGGAGAGAGACGTCGCCTTGTCAATTCCGTAATCTCATTCGTTGCCTTACCCCCCCCAGGGCAGCGCCTTCGAAGCTGGGCTCAGGGGTTCAGAGTAAACCGGCATGCCCGACTCAGGACCCCGCTACCTTGTTCCGTTGATGACAAGCCTGTCTCTCTTCTCCGTACAAAGAGAAAGACTTCCCGCCTTCGCCACCGTGGCAGGGTATATAAAGTCGCTTCGCCACTCCAGCACGTACCTTTCATAAGTTGGACGTTAAACGGGTCAGCACTTAAAGAGATATTTTTGACAACAAATAGACAAAGAGACGAAACAAACAGACGGGACCAGCTTACCTTGGACTCGACTTGTGTTACTTGATCAGTTCCTCAGATGCCCATTGACAAGCACAGCACAAGACTACATTGGACATGTTAAGTTTAACATACCTGTCATACGGGACATGCTACCAAGGCGCAAGTACCACGGAGTAGGGAGTCCCGTCTTATTACGGTATCTCCCCCTGCTTCACGCCGATCTTCCCCTCGGCCATAAGCCTTGACGCCCCGAACGTCGATGTAGTACCCGCCCCCGCGCTGGAAGTACGCATCCGGGCGTCAGTTCGAGTAACTTGGCGTAGGCTTCGAAAAAGTCGGCCAGCTTATCCTTCGGGGTGAAGACGGGCCATCGGGGTGGGAAGGGTATATCTAAGTGTAAACTGAAGCTGGCCCACTTTAAAGTCCGGCACTCTTAGTAGCCTGGCGTTCGTACTAGTACTACCGCCCGGGCCCCTATTACGGCTTTTTGCGGTGTTTTGCGGCCGACTTCCTCTTATAGTATATAGCTATACTACCCGTATTCCTGTGTACTTTCGAATATATGGGTTATAGTCCGTTTTTAGGTATATATAGTAATAAAAACTATACGTATCGCCTATAGTTTAGACGTTTAGGCTATTCTGTTTTGTATATCTATTTTATATAGTTTTATAGTCCCCGTAGATTTTTTTCCACGCTATATCTATGCCGTAGTTCGTATCGCTCTAACGCCGTCTAAAGTTAAGATAGTTAGTTAATCCGACCGTGAGCCTAAGCGCTGCTATAGTTACGGTATCGTTAAACCGTTTTCCGAGTTCGGGTTTTATCCGCGGTCACGTCGAAGGATTTACGCTACCTATATTACCTATAGAGCCAACTGTCGAGCCGCCCGTCCTGCACCTCCTATAGGTTCTACGGCTCCTCCACCACCCGTTCTAACCGGCCACCCTCCACTATAGCCTGCCCCTACGCCTCCTTAATCACCCGTTCTAATAGGTAACCCTCCACTATAGCCTACCCTTACGCCTCCTCCCCGAAGGGGTGGCCGTTATCGTGGCCGTGGCTATAACTAGCTTTATAACGCTCTATAGTTAATAGCGGGTCACTACTATTCTTCCTATAACTATTACCTTATAACGGCTGCTTTTAGTACCCGTCGAAATAGTGCCCCCTATAATACCTATAACGACTATAGTAATAGCAGAGCGCGTTATAGGGCGGCCGTTACTGCTAGCTAGCGTAGAGCGCGCCTATAACCCGACCGCCACGTAGAGCGTACTAGGCTATTAGGGTAGTATTAGCCGGGTATTACGGTTAATTATTACGACCTTAGATTAATACGGGTGGAGTGTGAATATTACGCTATACTCTATTAGATTAGAGAGAAGTTATAGATTAGTTTTCTATCCCCGTTATTAACTATTAGCTAACCAATACTATCTTCTATTACTTAGGAATCGTCGCCTACGAACTCGAAATTTAGCAGCTATTATAACCAGGGCGATATCGATATTCCCGTTATCTCCTTATTACCCGACTTCTTCTAACGCCTACTATACGCGGATACTACCTAAGCCGCGGATTATCGTAAGAGGATCCGTTAATATAATAATACCTTTGCGTTTACTTCTATATAATATACGGAGACCCGTTAAGGTACCGCTGCCGGTGGCGTAATAGCTTTCTAGATCCACGGTACCCTTTACTATTATACGGGACCGTTAAGTGCTATAGGCCGACTCCCCGCCTTTACCTAGCTATACTTTTACGATCCGTAGGCTACCGCCGACCACCGCCTTATAAATACCTAAAGCCTTAACTCCACGCTAGACCGTCATATCCTGGGGGAGATTTCGGACTTCCTATATAAGCATAACCCCTTTATTAACCTATATAAAACGGCCCGCGAACGTTTTAAGTTCCTCCGCGAATAGTGCCGTATAATACTTAACCCCTATATAAAATTAGTTATTAAGTAGGGCGCCGATATACGACGCGAGAATCTACCCGTTATGGACAAGGTTACGGCTATTATACCAGATAAGTAGGGTGAATATTACTATAGGGATATTATCGTCGTAGAGAGACGGTCTAACAGTAGCGTTAACGGCCTTAGGCAGATAGACTACGAGTATCCTGCCTACCTGCTATTATCTTACCCGCTTATATATCCGCGAGGCGGTTCCGGATATCACTAGTAGTTATAGTTATAGGATATTTATAACTGTTAGCGGCAGAACACCGAGGTAAAGTTCTATTAGTTCTACCGTTATATATTATACCCGCGATAATAGTAGAGGTTAATACCCTTTACCTACAGCCGTCTTTTCTAGTAGTTTTTAGTGGACCTATAAGTATCCTGCGATTAGAACAAGCTTTTATAGATCTAGCACTACTAGAACGAGTTACGGGCTAATATATATAACGGCTTACGGGATTAGGCGTATAAGGCTAACGGCGATACCTATAGTATTAGCCGACGGATTATCTTACTATTAAATTACGTTAGCGGCTAGCGGTTTATCTCGTAGTGCTATTAGGATTCTATAGTAATTATACGGGCTCTCGGCACTCCGACCTTTTTTATTACCTTTATAGCTAATCCTACCTAGCTAGAGATTATATAGGAGCTTTAGCTAGGTTAGACTACTAGTAACCGGCCCGATTTAGTTAGCCGGGTATTCGAGTTAAAGTCCCGCGACCTAGAATAGTAGCTACGCGATAGTCTATTTAGTAAGTTTACGGGGATTATATAGACCGTGGAATACTAGAAGCGCGGTCTTCTATATCGTTACATCCTTCTTTTCCTTACGCCGCGGGCGGCCGAGATATATAAGGACCCCGTAATTATCGATAAGGTTATCTCTATAGAGCTACCGGACCGCGAGTCGGATCCTACTAGCCGTCTTTTTAATATTATTAGTAAGAATATAATATATAATCCTTACGGTGATAATAAGCCTTCTACGCCGTGTATATAGCTATAGCCTAACAATAAGAACCGTATAAAGTGCTTTAAGCGGTTCCCTAAGCCGTACTACCTAAAAACGACTATATGGGAGGATAGTTATCCCGAATACAGGCGCCGTAACTCTAGCCTATATATTATAAAGAGAGGCCGCGTAGGAGAGGTCCCCCTTAATAACCGTTTCATTATTCCCTATAGCCTATATCTCTACCTCCGCTATAGTGCCTATATTAACGTTAAAATTTACGGATCTATTAAGGTGAGTTATCTTCTCCTATATATCTGCCTCCGTTACGGCGTATATACTAACGTTATCTTTTACGGATCTATTTAGGCGATTAAGTACGTCTATAAGTACGTTTATAAGGGTACCGACTGCACGACTACGCGTATATCGGGCGAAAAGGGCGAGGATAAGGTTAATATCTATCTCCAGAGTCGCTATATCGGTCCCGCGGAGGCCGTTATTTAGTTATTCGAGTTCCCCGTGTACCGTGAGTATCCGCCCGTTATACGTCTTCCGGTTTACCTTAAGGGATAGTAGCCTATATACTTCGGCGATAATATAACCGTAAGCTAGATTAAGCATATATTATAGGAGTAGAAGACTTAGCTAATAGACTTTTTCGACTATAACCGTGATAACGCTAATAGCCGCGAGTTATTCTATTATTAGTTTCCTAGCCGTTATACGTGGAAACCGTAGTAGTTTACTTAGTAGCCGAGGCAGCGTGGATTTTAAATCGGCTATCTACGGTATATACCCCTAATAGCTAAAGAGGCGTACTATTTACCGTTACTCTTAGTCTCCGTTAGAGGGCCGACTTCCTTTACCGACCTTTATACTATAGAGGGGACTATTTATAATACCTACCGCGAGGCCTACGTTATGGCCGGGCTTTTGCACGATAACCGTTACTGGGTTACCTATTTTAAGGAGGCCGTTATTTAGAAGACCGGGCGTGCATTACGGGAGCTATTTATCGTCGCTCTAATCCACGGAGACGTTTCCGGTTTAGTATCGATCTAGGAGAGGTTTACGGAGTCTATATACGATAACCTGCCTTACACGCTATAGGGCTAATACTTCCGATATCCTGCTAATCTAGAACGCCCGTATATCGATTACGGTCTTTATCTTATATACTCTCGGCTCCTCGAGGTGAGTAAGACTATTACGGAGTTTAGGCTGCCCGCGCCTTTACACGACTAGCGCCGTGCGATTAGTAATATATTATTTATTACGGAGACTTACGATCACGATACCTAGGCTATAGTGTATAAAGATATTTACCGCCGGTTTAACTAAAGCTAGGCTACGGTATTTAGCTAGGTTATAGCTGCTATTAAATCTCGTAGCCGTGGCGCCCGTTTCTTTTTATAGGGCCCCGGCGGTATAGGGAAGACGTTTATATACCGCGGTCTTTACGCGTATTTCCGGTCGCGTGGGTAGATTCTACTCTGCGTGGCGTCCTCTAGTATCACGGCCGTTCTTCTTAAGGGTGGCTATATAGCCTATTCGCGGTTTAAGATTACCTTATAGGTTAATAACGCCTTAACCTATAGCGTGCTAAAGAATTCGGACCTTATAGCGTTACTATGGGAGACGGTTCTTATTATCTAGGATAAGGTTCCTATATAGTATAAGTTCTGTTTTAAGGCCGTTAATCGTATATTACGAGATATACTAAGCTATAGCGATTACCTCTTCGGCGGTATTCCGGTTATCTTCGGGGGCGATTTTACCTAGATCCTGCCCGTTATTCGTAATAGTAGTTAGGCGCAGATTATACACGCCTGCTTCTAGAGGTCCTCTATATAGCCGTAACTTAGTGTTTTTTGCCTAATGGAGAATATACAGGTTACCTCTATTAATCCTAATAATCGGGCGTTTATTTAGTAGTTACGGGACCTCTCCTATAATACCGCTCTTCACGGGTTAATCGACCTTTTCCCTACTATTACGGTTATTTATAATATCGTCCGTTTATACGGGCGTATTTACCCGACTGCCTTATTAGAGTAGGCCCTATTAGACTATATAGTCTTTATTAACCGCGTTATTCTAATAATACGTAATACTACCGTCACGGAGATTAACGGGTAGATACTCGGGCGACTACCTAGCTAATCGTGTATTTACCGGGCCGAGAATTCAGTGGCTAATCGGGCAGAAGATACTAATGGTCCTACGCCAGAACTAGTACCGGAGTTTTTAATATAGTTAGAGTTCGCCTCTATCCCGCCCGCACGGCTTAAGCTAAAGGTCGGCGCGCCCGTTATACTTATACGGAACCTTAGCCCGCGGCAGGGATTATATAACGGTATACGTATAGTTATTTTACGGATAACGCGTAATACGCTAGAGGTTAAGGTGCTATCCGGAATACACGTTAGCGAGGTGGCGTTTATCCCCCATATCTATTTAGATTCTAATAAGGAAGACTACCCGTATATTATCCGGCGCCGTTAATTCCCTTTACGGCTCTATTTCGCGATAACGATTAATAAGTTATAAGGGTAATCGTTTAGTATAGTTAGCGTGGATTTCCGGTAACACGCCTTTATACACGGTTAGTTTTATATTACTGTATTAAGAGTTACGGACATTAGGAATCTATTAGTATTATTACTAGCGTAGAAGGGTTAGGAGGTATAGGATAGCAGGCGTGTATCTAATATCGTATACCTAGAGGTCTTAATTCAAATATTCTAATAGTCACTTTACGGGGGCACGATATTAATAGTTATAATTATAGTCGTAGTATTCGTAGTTAGGATTCTTTATTATATAGCCTATAGTATAGGCGGGAGGAAGTAAATTAACTATATCCGAGCTATAAACTAAAAGCAAAAATAAAAGAATAACCGTAAATCCTCTATAAAACAGAAAAAAAAAGATAAAAAAATAGAATATAAAAATAAGCCCTAGTAGTAAAAATACGACCATATAGCTTTAACGCTCTACGGCCGGGATACTATTCTTAAAGGCTAAGATAATATTCTTATAGAACTATATTATATCTTTTTTCTACGCCGTTATTATACCCGTAGGGAGGAGGACGCCTAGGACTTTAACGTTGCCGAAAGTAATAGGCGCGGGCGTGGGCGCGGGCGTAGGCACGGTAAAGGAGGCGGTAAAAGGGGGGCCGGAGGGAGCGTACGTCACGGGCGGCGCTATAGTATTAATAAGGGGCGGCGCGAGTATTACGGTTATTCTAGATAGGCTAGCTATAATAGCGGGAGGGGGGGGAAGGGGGGGCGCGGTAGTCATGGTCTTCTTAGCCTTCTTCGACGAAGGCGTAAGAGTTCCTATAGTATTATAAATCGATTAGTTAGTATAGATGAACGAACGTTACGGCTATTTTCGGCTTACCTATAGGCGCGGCACGCTTTTTCCCTTTAGAAGAGGCGGGAGTAGCGGGAGGGGGGGCGATAGGAGTAATAGGCGCGGGACTACTATTAGCGGTAGCGGGCGGGCGGAGGGAATACTTACTACCCTCGGAATTAAAGTAGTAGTTATTATAGCTACCGCTAACGATATTCGGGACCGTAGAATAACGCGTAAATAGTCCGTCTTTATTACTATAATATTTATAGTCTTTCTGTATACTACCTACCAGAGTTATTATAACCGCCTCGCGGTTAGCCGGGCGGTTAAGGTTAAGATTTTTATCTTCTCGTAGCGCGAGGTCGCGCTTAAACTATTAATAGCCGTTAGTATATCGTATAAGTTAGCAGTTAATTAGTAGTTTATAATATACCTTAAGACCGCGTATAGTTATTAGCGCCTTAGTATCTTTATAGCCGGTATTATAAATAAGGTTAATAACCTCGCTACGGGTCACCGTATAACCTTCCTTTGCAGGTATCGTCTTTTAGACGCGCGAGCTGCTAGGGGAGGGGGCGGGCGGATTATAGGCGGGCGAGGTTATTAGCGGGGGGGCGGGCGAGGTTACGAGCGGGGGAGCGGGAAATATAAAGCGATCGCGATAAGGGAAAAAAAGTTCGTCCAGCTTAGACGTATAGCCCCTAAGTAGGCGGGGGGATTCTTCGGGCGTGGGCGACCGGGATTCCTATAAGGAGATAGGGGAGTCGGAGAGGGCGGGAGGTATACTACGAATTACGGTTAGTATCGTCGCTTTCTATAGGGTTAACGCGTATATTTATACCCGTAACTTACTTAGCGGCGAAGCTTAAGTACCGGAAGCGGAAGAGAGGGAGGGAATTAAAGGAATTAAAAAAAATGGTTACTTAGCGGCGATACGAGGGATAACGACGGTCGATTAATTAACGGCTTTATTTCTGTAAATAAAACGTTTAATATAATAAAGGGAAAACTGTTTTATCGCGATACTAAAATATCGTAATAAAGAAAGTCGTTATAGTGTAGAAAACAGTAAATAGCAGTAAAATAACAGGAGGCAGGCGTTTTACGGTTATTTTCGGTTATTTTTCGGTTATTTAATTATGGCGGGGCAGGTTATATGACAAGCCCCCCCCCTACCAAGGGGGGGGGGGGGCCTCCCGCAGGGACAAGCTTTACGGCGTTGCCCGTAGGGCAACCTGCTAAGCTCGTAGGGGAGGTGATCCACCGTGATGGAACCAGACCGGGTCGTGCAGAACGAGTTGATGATATCGCATCCTCCAGTTGTCTCCTATGCGCTGGTTCTGGTCGACTATGAGGGAGCTCACCCCGAGAGCCTCCAAGCGGGCTGCGATGGTGAGTCCCGCCTGTCCAGCACCTGAAGTACGGTAGTACCTAATGTTAGTGACTTTGTAAATTGTCGGCGGTCATCGGGGGTTAAGTCATAGAGTTTGGACGTACCGAGAATGATAACAGCCGGCTCTCTTCCGTCCTGCCACTCCGACTCTGCTTGTCGGCGCTCCGCCCAGTTCTTACGTCCAGGCTTATCCCCATACTCGACACCTACTGCACGACGCCCGAGTGTGGCCTCCTCATGGCCCCGAATCTGACGAAGCGACGTGTACAAAGTGTAAATCTTCCAAGACTCGCCCTCTGACACGAGGCGGATGACACCTTTACCCGTGCCGAGACGTCTCCAGAGTGAGGAAGACGGCAAGGCAGGGGCCAGGGGGTGGTTCCTTGGAAGTCAACCACGGACATTTTCGGCTCCCGGACCCTGTTCGACCGGTCGACTGCGACTTTCTTTAAACGCAAGCCGCCCTCAATGGTCGCGCAGTCTTCGAAGAATGGTTTTATCAATGGATCAATGGAACGGATAAGTTAATGATCCAAGTGGTAGAGAAGGGATCGATCGCTGCATCTTGTTTTGCGTAGTTTGATACGGTTGGTTTTCGATCCTGGAGTATTGGTGACACCATCTCCTTAATCGTGGAATAGGGGTTATGAACCAGGGAAATCTATCAAAGCCTCTGGGCGTATGCCTACTCCTTGATCCTGAGCCTGGCCTGTTGATAGATAAAGAAAACTAAATGATCATTGCAAGAAATACGAAACCGTATGTTCACATACCTGGCCCCAGCCAAATGAACTCTCATGAGATGGAATACCACTGTATGATACCACGGTATGCATAATGCAAGGGCTTTAGAGTCGAGAGTAAAGCACCACTTAGAGACCCGACACCAAGACATCAAACGGAAGGACTGGTCCCATTGCAAACTACAGGTCATGTTCCTGTCAGAGATACTGAGTTTGCTTCGAGTCTCGAATAAAAGCAAACCCGAACATGTTGAACCAGACTCCTGGGATGTGTCGAATCTCGGCGCGCTTTGTTAAATTCACCAGCAACTACATCTTCACTTTAGGCATACATGGAGCTTGTTTGACCAAACATCACATCAAAAATCCCGTGAAAAGAGTTGAATAGAGCCATTGGCCTCAAAATCGATAGATGTGAGACATCTTAAGCCGCTGGGACAATGAATCTCGAGTAGGGTTCTTAGGGTTGTTTACCAACTTGGGAACCCAAAAGGTAAAAAGTTAGAAAGCAACTCATTGTTTAGTAGTCTACGAATAAACACGCAGAGAGCAGCTAAGCATTGGTGCTCTTATTAACTTGGGCCCGTGTTACATTGTGTTTAATAAAGAGCATATTCTACGATATATTACCCTCAGGTAATCTTCTAAAGCCTCGGGTATAGATTTCGATTCTTTACCAAATTCACGTATTCGGCTTTCTTGTTTGCTCGTTTCTATTTCTATTGTCTTGGATATACATAGACTGCCATTTAGAACTCGTGCAGCCAAGAATGTAAGGGAATCACCTCAGGTCTGGACTCAAACTACATGAACAAAGACCATGCACCTTCCTGCAAGTATATTCACATTCAAACACTGCAATAAGTCACCGAGCCAACTGTAAGAGGCTACAATGGCACGGATATGCCCGTGGTGGCATCTTTGCAGTGAATCAGTATATTGATGCGCCAGTGACAATGGCTCTAGAGATCAGTGCTCTCTCTGCAATTCACGACTTCGCTGCCTGAGCTCATCTCCAGCATACGCCTCAGGAAGAATTAGTATTTATAGACCCCTTTCAGTGCCCTCGATGTCTCTTACATTCTCCAGCACCCTCAACTCGAGCACTTTGATCTTCCAGCACTGCACCAGAACACACACACGCCAATTTGCCATACGAAGAACCAACCACCATGACCAAAACCCTCAGGGCCTCGATGAGGTCCACCATCCTCTTGACCATTGGTCTCCTGGCCGTGATGTTTGGCATGTCGGCCGCTCTGCCTACCTCGAACAACACTGTCGGAGGCAACTCCGATCTCGCGGACACTTCGATCGACTCTGAACTCAGGGTTTGCCGACTGACACCTCCTTCCGGCCCATCGTTATTGGTGAGTGCGAGTGCATATGACCCATGAGAGTCCGCGCTGACACGGAAGGTAGAGAGCGGCGGCGACAGGGACAACGGAGGCAAAGGCGTCCTCCTTCAGAACGCCGACTCTGGTCCCGCTCGCTGGTTCCACTTCTACCACAGCTCCTACGATAACATGGTCTACAAGTCGGTCAAGGTAAGAAATGACGAGTCCCTGGTTCTGGAACATACACCTTCAGGGGGTAGGACGCTGATCACACGACGAGCAGATCCGAAGCGGGGAAACCGTCTTCGTCTCCCTCTGCGACGGCTTCGAGGGCCGCATCCAGCGCGGCACCGAGACGAACTGGGAGCGCAGCATCCAGAAGCTGGGCACCTGGGCCGAGTTCAGCTTCGACGAGGCCGGCCGGGACATCTGGGGCAACATCAGCGTCCTCGAGGGCTGCGACGGCGGTGTCGAGATCGCCACCACGGACGGCTCCAACGTCCGGAAGGGGTTCCGGGAGTACATCCTCGACGGTGCCCCCTCGAACGCCATGACGCGCAAGAGGAATGGCAGCCCCGTCATCGACAAGCTGGTGGGACACGATGCCAACAGGGCGGCTGATGAGTACATCCGCAGACGGCTGAACCCGTCCATGGTCGACATTAGCAATAACCAGCAGACTGCTGTGAAGTCGGGCAACATGAGGATGAGGTTCATCTTCCACCGGGGTTCGTACGAAGTTGGGGGTTTGCCTTGTCGGGGAGGGATTACGCACTTCCTCGTCTCACATCTCTGGAACGGTCAACGTTCATAGCATCAGTCTCGTAATATACTCACTGAAGTTGTGACAACCAGCTGCCGAGTTCCGTTTCCAGTGTAAAAGGATAATCTGACTGCATTGTAAATGTGCAAGACCGAGCCATCGTGATAGTTTTGTGTCGTGATAATTTCCGAAAGGAGGGTTTGGACGTTTTACGTTGAGATGGTGCGTCGTTTCTCAGAGTTCAAGTCATGGGAATGATTGCTGGCTTGGCCGTCGTCATAGGATCAGTCTCCTACGATCTGTATACTCACCGAACGGTCGACTACATAACAGATTCTAACAGAAAATGGACCCGTATCTCGAGCTGGTGATGGTGTGTCGTCTCCTGATTGTCCAATTCCGGGAAATGATTGGATGGGCTTGTTTGTTCGGGGGATGCGAGAGTGGAGTACGAACCCCAGAGCCCTGTAACTCGACGGAACCGTGGGTCGGCCCGGGGGTAAAGGGCTAGACCTCTGGACACGAAAAGGTACGTACTTTTTATATTGTGTGTCATGCTCCACAGACGAATCAGAGGGCAGATGTACCAGAGTACCTTCGTCGCGCGCCCACTGCCAGTTACTTCGTACTATTTGTATTCCGTGCTATTACTCTCTCCAGCCTCTCGCACGAGACAAAGAAGCACAAGCACACAGCACAAAGCACGACCACGAGCGACAACAAAGCATTTCTGCCCCTCCGCGTCTTTCTGTCTGTCACCAGCCTCAGCTCAGCCTCCAGGACTGTCTGAGCCACTCACTCTTGTTGCAGCCGCCACCATTCAACAACTTGGTTCTGCTCCATCGCAAGTCATTGCTGCAGCTTCATCGGACCTGCCCCTCTGCCCCTCTGCCCCTCTGCCCCTCTGCCGCCTCCCAAATCGACCACGGACCACGGACCACGGACTACAAACTTCTGACCTACCTGCTTACCTCCTTCGTACTTTGTACGCCTTTGGTCCGTTGGTTCTTTGGCGTGGCACAAGGCTTCAGGCGCACCCGTTTCGACTTTGTCGCACGAAGCTTTGCAGAACCCTATCCCATCTCACCGTCTTTGCCTCTCTGCCTCTCTGCCTCTCTACCTCTCTATCTCTCTATCTAATCTTCCCCCTTGTCTCTCTGCCCTGCGCTTGGTCGAAGAGCTCCCCTCCGTCCTTTCTGCGCAACTAAACCACCCTGCCTTGGTTGGCGCAACAGAACCCGGAGAACGATGGTCTGACGCCGGAACAGCTCTTCAGCCTTGATCGTCTTTGCAAAGACCTTTATTTCTTGTTTTTATTTCTCTTGAAGGCAATTCTTGAAAGCAATCCATTTCCTTTTCTCTTGGAAGCTCCGCCGTTGCTATTATTTTTGCTTAATTCTAGCTTGGAAGTACACATTTCCTTTTTTCTTTGCCTTGCTCAGGCAACAACCCGAACGCCTCTCGTTTCAACGACGAGCATACCGCCGTAATGTCGCGCCCTTGTAAGTTTTACGATATATAGCAATTTCTGGGAGCTGCATTCTAGGCCCTCCCTGGTGTTCTCTGCTGACTGCCAGATACGCAGTAACCAAAGACGAGGAGGTCCGGTACACGGCCATCATCGACAGCATCCTGGCGACGGCGGACCTGAACACCGTGACACGCAAGAAGATTCGAGCTGGGTTGGAGATGGCGCTTGGTGGGAAGGATTTGAGCGACCAGAAGGTACGTGTCTGTACTGCGGCTTCTTCGGTGAAGGGTTGGGGAGCTTCTCAGAATTACGGCGGCAAAACAAACTATTTTATAAAACGGGTTTTGTCGTTTTCACGGTTTTTCTCTGCCCCTGCTAACTTTCTCTATTCCCACCACACAGGACGCTATCAAGAGATTAATCGAGGAGCGCTTCGATCGCCTGGCCAGCGGCGCAGCAGACGAAGCCGACGCCACGGCGGTAAAAGCCGAAGCGTCAGCCACGAACGGCCACAGCGGAGACGGGGAAGGAGAAGAAGAAGAAGAGACAAAAGTGCATGCAGGCGATGAAGAAGAAGAAGACGCAGAAGGGTCCAGCGAGGAGGCGGACGTGGCTGCTTCTTCGATGCCGGCTCGCAAGAAGCAGAAGCGGTCCGAGTCGGAGGAAGACGCCGACGCGCGGCTCGCGGCCGAGCTCCAGGCGCAGGAAAACAAGCTCGCCCGGACGCGGATGACGCGGGGCGGCAGCGTGGGAAAGAAACGGAAAGCGCCGCGCAAGAAGAGTGGCAAGAAGGCGCGCCATGACGATAGCGACGGCGGCGGCGGCGAGGGGAGCGAGGAGTCGGCTCCGAAGCGCAAGGCGGGCGGGGGGTTCCAGAAGCCGTTTACGCTCAGCTTCCCGTTGGCGCAGCTGGTGGGCGAGCCTCAGGTGGGTGCCTTTCCTGTCCTCTTTCCGCCTCTCCCCCCCTCTCTCTCTGTGTATGTATATGTATCTAACGCATCAACTATGGTTCCTGGTCACAGCTATCGCGACCGCAGGTGGTCAAGAAACTGTGGGAGCATATCAAGGCGAACGAACTGCAAGATCCCAGTGACAAGCGACAGATTCGATGTGACGAGATGATGCACGCGGTTTTCAAGCAGTCCAGGGTCGACATGTTTCAGATGAACAAGATGATTGGCAGTCATCTGTATCCGGTGGATGAGGAACAATGAAAAAAGAACAAGGATGCGAGATGGGCGCTGGAACGAGAGGGAGAACACAAAGACAGAGAAGTGGAGGAGACGAAGAAGAGACAGAGAAGAAGAATGGCGGCGATACTATCTCGAGACGCGGCACCCGCACCCCATGGGGGGAGGGTCAGGGGGAGGGCGGCGACACAAACCGGTGAACATGTAGCGAGGGTTACCCGGCGTTTGGCAGGGCAGGACAGGGCAGGACAGGGCAGGACAGGGCAGGACAGGGCAGGAAACTGGTGGGGGGTTTGGTCCATTCTGGCTGGTGTTTTGCGCTTTTTCACTTGCCACTTCGTTTGCTTCTCAACATTTTAACGGCTGCTTTTGCTTATGGCTCTTATTCCCATGCTTTCGATTTTTACCCTTGCCGGAATGGTTTTACCGAGCATCGCGGGGGTGTGGCGTTGATACTCGAAATAAATTGCCGAGACCCTTTGCACGGGGAAGTGATTGTGAGTTTACACTACTACGGACACATGCAGAGGGAGGGGAGATGAATATAATTGCAGTAAAGATCACCGACACTCGGAACACCATCCGCATATACATAAACTGACGACATCAGGTATCCGTACCAGAGGGGCTGAGTCATCATGAATTCATCGACCCCGTTCGTTGCACGTGCTCTCGGTGAAGGACCCCGCCACGAGGCTACCAGCTTTGCTTCCGGATTAGCCTCTGGGTGTCTTCTTTCCGTCTCTGCTTCTTTGGATTATCAATTCAATTCAATTCACCCCACGCTCACCTCCAACCCAATTTTTTTCCCTTTTTTCTTTTTTCTTTTTCCACAACACCCAAGAGGAACGCAGTATAGCGAGTCTCGCTATTCGGGGTCTACCAAAGTCGTTGTCTGTTCCTAACAGACAGCGAAGTGCCTAGTCCACTTTTTTCTTCTTCTTTTTTTCCTTTATTATCTTGGACCCTGAGTCACTCGGCGGCGGCGAATTTGGTGGCTTTCGACCACACATCCAGATCCTTGCCCTTCGTGACGCAACGAAGAGGAATTCCATTTCGGTACGGACACTACTACCTATTTCTGCCTCATTCTTGAATCCGCTTAAAAAATTTTTTTATTTTAATAATTTTTCTACGCTTTTCGCATCCTTCACTTCCTTTCTTTCTGAACACGTTTGTTTATTAATATTCATCTCATAGCGCACGGCACTTCATCTCACCTCGGTTCTTCCTCTCCTTTCGTCGGCAAACTGCCAAGCTGCTGCTGCTGCTACTGCTGCTCCTGCAAACGAATATATTGTATCCTTTTCTGCTCGCTCCCACATACCACCCATGGACTCGACTCAAGCAGGCGTCTCTACAGCCGCACCCGCCCCGGAAACCAATCGAGGTCGAGGGCGAGGACGAGGGCGAGGGCGGGGACAACCAAACGCCAGGGGCGGATCCGGCGGTGCTGGTGGCGGCGCCGTTGACGGTGGCGTCGAAACCGGCAGTGTCGACAATCACCCATCCCGGGGTGGACGCAGGGGACGAGGAAGAGGAGGCAGCAACACCAATACCTCGAAACGCGGACAAGGCCAAAGACAAGGAGAACAAGGCGGCATCTCTGCCCACACACACACACCACAAGCTGCCGTAGCCGTAGCCGTAGCCGTAGCAGCTCCTACGCAAGGAGATGCGCCTCCTCCCACCACCGACGGCAAGGCCCCAGAGGGAGCCCCCAGTACGGCCGAAGGTGACGAGATCTGCTTCATCTGCGCCGACCCCATCAAGTTCCACTCCATTACACCATGTAACCACAAGACTTGTCACATCTGCGGTCTCCGCATGAGAGCCCTGTACAAGACGAAGGACTGTCCACATTGTCGGGTATGCTATTTTTTTTTTTCGTTTTTCTTTTTTCTTTTTTCGCTTGTCTTCCTACTACTTACTGCGACATCCCTAACTCTTACCCAAGACCGCCGCCCCCTTTGTCGTCTTCACCGACGACCCCTTAAAACGCTTCGAAGACTACACCGACGACGACATCACCAGCTTCGACAACAACATCGGCATCAAGTACGCCAACGAAGAGATCGTCGGCGACACCGTCGTCCTCCTCCGCTACAACTGCCCCGTCAGCGACTGCGTCTTCGCCGGCCTCGGCTGGCCCGACCTCCACCGCCACGTCCGCTCCGTCCACGCCCGCAAAATGTGCGACCTCTGCACCCGCAACAAGAAGGTCTTCACCCACGAGCACGAGCTCTTCGCCGACAAGGAGCTCGAGCGCCACATGCGCCACGGCGACGACCGTCCCGGCGCCGTCGACCAGACCGGCTTCAAGGGCCACCCGCTCTGCGGCTTCTGCGGCTCCCGTTTCTACGACGACGACAGGCTCTACGAGCACTGCCGCGAGAAGCACGAGCGCTGCTTCCTCTGCGACCGCCGCGACTCCCGCAACCCCCACTACTACCTCAACTACGACGCCCTCGAGAAGCACTTCCGCAAGGACCACTTTCCCTGCCTCGACCCGGAGTGCCTCGACCGCAAATTCGTCGTCTTCGAGTCCGAGATGGACCTCAAGGCCCACCAGCTCTCCGAGCACGGAAACTCCCTCTCCAAGGATGTCAGGAGGGATGCCCGCGTCGTCGACATTTCCGGCTTTGACTACCGCCAGCCCTATCAGGAGGAGAGGAGGGGCGGCAGGGGCGGCAGGGGTAGGGGCAGAGGTGGTGGCGAAGGCGGCCCCAGCCGGAGAGAAGGTCGAGAAGGTCGCGAAGGTCGCGGTCGCGGTCGCGATTCCAACGCCGAACCCTTGCCCCCGAGCTCCGCCCAGCCTCTCCGTCGTGACGAGCTTGCTTTCCAGCGACAGCTCGCCATTCACTCCGCCCAGTCTGTGACCCAGCGCTCTTTCGGTGGCCAGCTGTCCAACTCCCCCGCCCCGTCTCCCGCGCCTGCGCCTGGGCCTGCCCCCGCACCTTCGACATCACGTCCGCCCAACGGTGCCGGTAGTGCCGGTGGTGCCAGTGGTACTCGACCTGCGAATGGTACTGGTGCTGCTACCACACCCGCACCACCTGCCGCCACTGCCACCGCCACCGCCACCGCCGTGGGAAACACCCCTCCACCCAGCGCAGTCGACCTCTCCTCCCTCCCGCCCGCCGAAAGGGCCCGGATCCTCCGCCACAGCGCCGTCATCGAACGGGCCTCCAACCTGCTCGGCCACGACGCGGCCAAAATCGCCCAGTTCCGCAACCACATCTCGTCCTACCGCTCCGCCCAGCTCTCGGCCCCGCAGCTCATCGACGCCTTCTTCTCCCTCTTCTCCGACACCTCCTCCAACGCCATCGGCACCCTCGTGCGCGAGGTCGCCGACCTCTTCGACGACAAGACCAAGGCCGCCGCCATCAACTCCGCCTGGCGCGACTGGCGCGCCATCAACGAGGACTACCCTTCCCTCCCCGGCCTGGGCGGCATGCACGGCGCCACCACCTCCTCTTCCGGTTGGGCCGCCGCCGCCGCTTCCTCTTCCTCCTCTCCGTTGTCAGCACCCGCCCAGCCCAGCACCGCCTCGAACCAAAAACACTCCAACCGCGTCCTGCGTCTCAAGAACAGCACTCGCGTCCCCGGCTCGCCCGCTTCCTCCGCCCGACCCCCGACATGGACCGTTTCCACATCCTCCCCGCGACCTGCCCCCCCTCCCTCGCAAAATACCTTCCCCGCCCTCCCTCCCGTGTCCTCCTCCGCATCTACCTCTACCTCGGCCTCCCGAACCCCAACCTGGATCGGCCCCAACACCCACAACACCCACAACAACACCCACAACAACAACAACAACAAAACCAGCAGGTCACAGCCTCCTCCGAGGCCTCGTGGCAACGCCAACGGGGCAGACGCCTTCCCTGCGCTCCCCCGGGCGCCGAAACCGTCCACTACCATATTTGGCTACGGGACAGGTGCGGTAAGGCGGGACTTTGGCGTGCAGCGGGATACCGGGTTTAGTTGGGGCGGCAACGACGGCGGCGGCGAGGCGAGCGAGAATGCGGCGGAGCGGGAGGAGGCGGGAGAAGAGACCGGTGGGGGGAAGAAGAAGGGGAAGAAGAAGAAGGTTCTTGTGCAGTGGGGGTGAAAATTGATGCATCTTACCCCGTGTCAGGGTTTGTGGATAGCGGTGACTTTGCCGTTCAGAAGTACGAATACATACAAAAAGAATCATGAGAATTGAGTCGAACGGTGGTCTCGAAAGCTGTGCCAGCGTGACTGAAGCGCGTTGTTCAATGTATCGTCCGGGCTGATGCCCTGTATAACAAAGCCGGGAAGCGTCGAATCCAGATATATCCTTGGCCTCTTTGTTTCCCTCCAAATAGAGAGGGGGCTCTGGTAAAACTTTGAACGGAATCGAAGCTGGCAGCAAAACAAATCACAAAGCATTTTATATAGTAGTAGCAATAACACTGACAACAGAAACGACAAGACAACGAGAAAAACGACACCGACGAACCAACAACGAACCAACAACGAACCAACAACGAACCAACAACGAACCAACAACGAACCAACAACGAACCAACAACGAACCAACAACGAACCAACCACACGACAACCATCGTAAAAGCACAGGCTACAGCCCCGCCGGCTCATAGTATTCCTTAAACCTATCCGCCTTATCCCATTGCACCTCCCACACAACATTCCAGCAGGCCAGCAGCAACTCCGGAAACCGTACGGTCCAAAAGGAAAGGTACCCCTCGGGCAACGGCCCCACGGTCCGCTTCAGCGAGTCGGACATGTCCTCGTAGTGATTCCTCTTGTTGCGGAGCGCGCGGAGGAGGTCGAGAAGCCGCGTGCCGGTGTACTTGCGCTGCTTGCCCAACGAGTCGACAAACTCGCGGGGCAGGTGGCGCAGAAAGTCACCCTTAGTCGCAATCGGGGCATATTCCTCCAGCTTGAGCAGCGGCTCGCTGGGCGGATCGCGCGGTTCCTTCTCAAAGTGGTCCGACACGTCGCAGAGGAAGGCCAGCCGTTTCTTGGCCGACCAGAAGAACGGGTGCGACATGACGTCGTGCGTCGTGGGACGCGCCTTGGGGTTGCTGTCTAGCATAGTGCGGATCAGGTCCTTGGCCTCGGACGCATAGTCTCCCAGGACCGATAACGGGCTGAGGTTGTGGTTGCCCTTGCGAATGTTGACCTCGCGCATGTACCGGTCGCCGCAGTCGAAGGGGTGCTGGCCGTTGCTCAGGACGTAGAAGAAAACGAGACCCAGACTGAAGATGTCGATGGACCGCGTGGCACGCCGGTTCGGCAACAGGTCCGAGTTGACCAGAGGCGTGCCCGACCCGCTGTTGATGCTAGCATCCGTGAGCGGATCTTTGTCGTCGTCCAGGAGCAGCTCGGGTGCTCGCCAGCCCGTCGTGCCAGCCGCCCGCCCCGTCGTGGCGCCAAAGGATGACTGGCCTCCTTCAAGCTTTTTGCACAGACCAAAGTCTGACACGAGGAGGCGAGCACGACCGCCTTTGTCCATATTGACCAGAATATTCTGAGGCTTCAGGTCGCGATGCACAATACGGAGGCTGTGCAGGTGGTTGATTCCATTGGCGATCTGGTAGAGCACCGCGGGCAGGTCGGCCCTGCCCGCCTGGGCCAGTTGGGGGAACCGAGAGGGCCTCTCGACAACGTCAGCCAAGGAGGCAGCACACCGCTCAAGTGCGATGTACAGGAAACCATCTCTGGCCTCTTGTGCGTAGTATCGAATGACTGCAGGCTGGTGTTAGCTGTGAAATCGCAGGGGCGAGACGAAGGGGGAGGGAAGAAAAAAAAAAAGAAAGGGGGAGCGTACCATTTGGGTGATCGTCGCTCTCCCGAAGCAGACGAGTTTCTTGCGAGGCAATGTCATAGAACTGGATGAGCATCCGCTTGACGGCCACCTCTCTGCCATCAAACCGACCGGCAAAGACAAGGGTGCCGTTGCTGCCCGTGCCCAGCTGATGCTCCATGTCCACTTCGATGCTGCCGAGCTTGAACACAGGACCGGTAACCGATTGCATATCGTTCGTGATCGTGACCACGTCCGGTTCCAGCTTGGGCGAGTTGCCGAGTCTCTTGGCGTTTTTGACGGCATCCTCCACGGTGGTGGCCGCAGGTTCATCGTCACGGGATGTCGAGATGTCCCTCTTCTTGGGACCATTCTTTCGATGCTTGACCCCGCCACGTCTGCCGCGGTGGGCTTTGCCTTTCTTCTTCTCAGGGGGCCCGGCGGCGGAGTTTTCGGCATCGATCTTGGCCGCCGGCTTAGCGGGCGAAGCAGCCAAGTCGGGTGGCGGTGGCGGCGTGGAGGACGGAGACGGGGCCTGGCCGGAATTGCTCTTCTCAGACAAGCCGCTATTTTCGGTACGCTCCGGGACAGCTGTCGTGTGCTCGTCGACAGCGGATGGCTCGACCAGCTGCTGCTGCTGCTGCTGCTGCTGTTGTTGTTGTTGTTGTTGTTGCTGTACTTGTTGCTGCTGGGCCTTCTCTTCCGGCGTGTCGTCGGTACGTGGGTCGAGTGCAGGTACCTCAGCGTGAACAGAGCTTCCGAGTGCGAGATCGGCAGAAACCAGGTCACCAGGCTTGGACCACTGCTCCCGTTGCAGTAGGAACTTCCGCGATTTGGCCTTGGACCATCGGATCAGGTCCTTGTGGTAAAAGAAAAACGAGAGGACGAGAATGCTGATCAGGACGGGGTTCTTGAAAAGGTCCACGAAGCTGTTGGCGGCTTGTTGGGGAATCGACCTGACCTTGGCGACGATGGTCGGGCCGTCCAAGTCGTCGGGAACGAGGGTGGGCAGGGTCGAATCGTTCTCGTGATCGTCAACAGGCTGCGAGACGGAACCCCCGGGAAGGGTCGGTGGATAATACTGGGGCCCCTTTTCCCGGACCGAGTCAAAGCTGTGACGGCCGATCATAGCGGCGGACTTTTGGTTCTGGGTCAGCAGGCCCCAAGGCCGGTCGAGCTCCAACCACTGTCGCAGCGAGGTGAGGGCGGGAGGGGCGTCCACGATGAGCGGGTACGACAAGCCGGACAATGCGTACCAGCTGCCTGCGCCGGTCTGGTTCAGGAAGACATGGCTGCTTCGGAGGCGAGCAACGTCGTCATTCTGCGGCGGCGGGATGGGCTGCGGGAGGACGAGGAGATCCGGGTTCTGGTCGGGGGTGACGCCCCAGGGCCGGCAGACGTCAAAGACGCGGGCGACGGGCGAGTCGAATTTGTCGGCGAAGATGAGACGCTCGTCGGAGGCGTCGAGGTCAAAGGCGTAGACGCCACCGTCGTGGCGGCTACTGTGGTAGCGGTTGTCGAGGGTCCGGCGGTAGGTGGACATGAGGTCGCGGTCGAAGTTGTTGGGGGTCCACTCGGCGTAGCGGAGGTTGGCAATGGCGCGACCGTCCTTTCGGCTGATGGCGACTTCGTACTCGGTCCGGCCGAGGGTGATGGTGCCGGTGGAGCTGCACTCCTCGCGGTCGAAGTCGTAGATACCGCTGGGACGAAGGCAGCTCTCCTCCTCGTTCACGTGGGAGCCGCTCGATCCGAACCACTTGAGGACGCGACCGGTCGAGGCGTCGATGGTGATCATGGTGGTCTTCTTGGTGCCGGTGTAGATGACGGGGGGGTTGTCGTTGGCGAGCGGGGAGAGCTCCTCGACGAGGCTCTTCATGGTCAGGCCGGTGGGGAGGATGGCCGGGTCGGGGGCGCCGGGCATCCAGATGTAGAGGCTACCGTCACGGGTAGGCTCGACGGCCCAGACGTAATGGTCGACGGGGTGGTGGTCGTCGTCGAGCTCGGAGGTGTTGAGGCGGTGGTGGACGGTCTCTACCATGGGCTGGTCAACCTCGAGATGCCAGCGGACGGTGCCGGTCTGGCGGTCGCTGGCGTAGAGGTCCCCGTCGACGGTCGCCAAAAGGACGAAGTCTTCCACTTCCCATTCCCCCAGACTCCGCGCACCAGGCTGCGTAGAGATCCCAGACCCGGACCCGGTATCGGGGCGGGTGATGAGACGATGACTGGAGGGAGGTGCTCGTACGGACTGAGCCGGAGCCAAAGTTGCGACGGCGCGCGCATCGTTTTGGTTAGGGGTATTGTTGTTTTTGATATAGTTGATATCGTGGCGGTTTGGGATTTCGAGATGGATGTTGTGGTTTCTCTTGTCGTTTCTGTTTATGATTCTATCTCCGTCTCTGTTTCTGTCCTGACTGCGTTCCGTAGTCTTCTTTTCGATGACAGCCCGCTCTTCTCCCGACAGAATTATGGGGTGGCCCGTATGGTCATCGCCCTTGGAGGCATCGGACGGGTGGAGCCATTGTCTGTCGGCGGCGGGGAGGATGTGACGGGCGAGGTCGTCAGGTTGAACTTGGGCTAGGGGTTGGGCGTCGGCGCGTCGTTGCTGCTGCTGAGCTTCGGCGAGCGGGAGGTAGGTGAAGAGGAGAACGGCGAGGGTGAGTAGACATTTCGGGGAACCGAGCCCCCCATCACCTGGTGGCCGCCGCGGTGGCATGTTGGGATGGGGAAGCTGATTGTAGAATCACATTTAGGCCTGGCAAAAGAAGAAGAGAACAAGAACCGATGACGGAATCAATGCCGCGCCATTGGGCTGGGAACGAAGCAGAAAGAGAAAGTCCGAGCCGAAGGAGGTGAGAACAAGAAACGACTCGAGAAGACGGGAAAAGGGGGCGTGGCTTTGTAAGGCAAATGGTGTTGGAACGATGATGATGGCGCTTCGCTGGGGTCCCAATGTTTTGTTCGCTAGGTGTCGTGCCCTTGAGTCCCTGAGGACTTGAGTCCACCTGAGTCCACCCCCGAACAATTTAGTGCGGCCTGAAAGAGCCACTGTGGAGGGACCCTATAGACGTTGGGGGCCTGAACCCACACAAGGCAGGCAACAGGATTGCTTGGACGATTCGATCAAGATGAATGTGTTAACGTGGATGAGAATACTTCAAACCGATAAAGACGTAGGTAGGTCAGAAAGAATATAGAGGACAGAGGATGAAGGAGGAGGAGGAACTGGAGGGACTGGAGGAACTGGAGGAGGAGAGGTGAGGAATCGAAAATGATTCGAAAGAATTGATTATTCAAGATTATGTGAAAAAGATTCCGTGTCCCAGGGCCAAGGGAAGGACCGAAGGGGTCGGGGAAGGAAGGGCCCAGGGCGAGAGCCAAGGAGTGGAAGGCACGGGTGGGTGTGACGATACTGTCCCGTACTCCGTATGAATATCTGGGCAGAAAATAAAGGAAGGAGATGGATCCATGAATACCTTAGATTGATTACGCGGAATTTGTGATTATCTATACGGACTAGGTACTTCGCATTGGCACGGCTTTCCCTACCAGCTATCCGTTCACCCAAAGTACCTTCAAAGTAGGTAGGCAATTCCTTCGTAGTGCCGAGGAGGCTGGAACAGACCAGGCCAGTGGCTGGGTGTTTTATCACATGATCTGGAACGAATAGTATTCGCACTTGGAAAAGGCAGCACTGAAACATGGCATCCGTGCACTGTGTAAGTGGGGAGGGATGTGGAGTACCCGAACTTCATACTCCGTAAGGTACCTCACAACGCAGTACTCCGTACGTACCTACCTAACGACCACCTGTATCGAGATACGCCGAGATTCTGCGTCGAAAATAACGCTAGTGTAGATGTCGTCTTGTTTTCCTTTCTTTCCACTCTCTTCACTCGCGATTTTACTTTTGTTTTTAACTCTATTGTTCTCATAGACGGGAATCATCCTCTTGCAAAGCATACACAGAGTTCGCCACTTAGTGCGTGGAGCAATAGGGACTAGTAGACGGCCTACCAGCCCCGACGATTTTCCCTACATCTGAGTGGGTGTACCAATGCTACGACGGAGGGAACTCCCGCGACAAAAGGCTTTCCCGCCGCCCACCAGGCGCTCGCACCATTCCCGGCTGATTATGGTACGAACTTCAACGCATGCGAAAAGACGGTTCCGAGGACCGAAAAGATGCATCGGGATGTTTTGAATCTGACTGAGATAGCTACCTTGCCGGTTGCGAGATTAGTTGTTTGTTCGAATGGCTTGACTCTGGACACAGAAGCTGTTAATTAACCCGGCCTCGTCACGTCACCTTCATCCGAACTTGTTTCTTTTTTCGTTTTATTTTTTTCTTCGTCCCTCGCTTCCCCCTCGACGCGGCGAAACCGTGAAAGACAGTGGTCTTAATTGCCCCCGAGTAAGCAACTGTCAGTCCACGAAAAAAAGATCGGCAGCAAAGATCGGCACAGCAAGCATCTCGAGACCCAAAGACTGGATTAAAGATGCAGATGTCATGGCTCCTCTAGGCAGCGGCCCATGAAATACGTCTGCCTAATAGCCATTCACACCCCTGGGCTTGAAATTCAAAAGCCCTATCCTCCGCACCAACCCGAGGTGCAGGGAAACAGGGAAACTCATATGCAGCATTCCAGGTCGGTTACGTTTCTGGTGGTTTCGAGATGTCTGTCGAACAGACCGCAGTCTTTTCGGTTACGTAATAGGCCGGATTACCAAGAGTATAATCCGGGTGGACGCTTACAGAATCTGCACTATATAAAATACGGTGGCAGCGTTTCCCTGACGGTCTGAGATAGTTATATATATATATAATTGCCTTAATTAATTTTGACTTATTTTATAACGATTTTAACTACGCTTTATCTGATAATTAAGAGTCTTACTTACTAAGTGAAGATATACCTATTTTACCTACCCTTTTACTATTACTACCGATTTTAGAAGCTATTTAGCTACGCCGATATAGCGTATTAATCTATAAATAACTATTAAGATATCGTACCTTAGCCCTATTACGTATAAAACCTATAAGGATTAGGAGCTCTAGCGACGCCTATACGAATCGGTTACTACCTATAATAACGTATAGAGGTTTCTCCGCCTAGTCGATCCGACTTAGTCCCCCGAGGAGCCTATAATACCAGATTACGGCTCTTTCCCCTCTATAACACCTAGGCGTACGCCTATATAATATCTCGACCTAACGGACGCCGGCCAGAAGGCGTATAACGTCGAAATCGCGCGCTAAAAGATCCTATAAACGTAATACGATAGCTACCTAAAGGGGATTAACGCTATACTAACCTAGCAGGTTAATACTATCGACTAAAGCCGTAGATAACTACTACAAGGAGGTATATCTTATAAGGTATACGAAGCTGTTAAATACGATACGGATTAGTACCTAGCCACCCGCTAAACCGACACCCACGAAGAGTATATCGAGTGTGCCCGTTACCCTACGAATAGCCTTAAAAAGCTCGGGGAGTAGTTAGATAAAAAGCAGCTACTACTATAAAGCTATAAAGATACTAGTTCGAAGCCCGCTATATATATATATAGGTTATAGACTTCTTTAAAGGTATACGCCCCTATACCGGCCGCGATTAGACTAAGGCTAAGGGCCGCCTAGTGGATAACCAGGTAGTTATACCTGAAGACCTTTACACCCTTAGTCAGAAGTATATTAACACTAGACTTAAAGACTAAGGAAAACGCGGTAGCCACCGCGCTATAGTATTCCTTATACTATACACCGGAAGCGAAAAGGGTAAAAATACCTTAGAGGCCACGGCTAAGCCCCGTAAAAAGGGCGGCCGTGGGAAGAATAAAGCTAAGAATCCCACTACCGCGGTATCTACAGCCACACCTTTAGCTGCTTTAGCTACTTCACCTGCTTTAGCTAACCGTTCCTCTTCTGAACGCTGCTAATCTGCTTTATAGAGAGGTTAGATCTACCGCGTATACGCTATACCTAGCCACGATACTAACGCCTACTTCTATCTATTCCCGGATACGGTATATAATAATTGGATACCCTTTAAGAGTATTAAAATAACCGTTTAACGGATCCTTAAATACGACCCCTCGCTGCGCGCGGAAGTGGAAGAACTACGCGCCGTAAAGAAGGTAAAGAAGGATATAAGCCGGGACTCTATTATCAAGGAATAGGCTATAATACTAGGGAAAAGATACACCGTAACGGATAATACTATTCGGACTTAATAGTTATATATTATTAAGACTTTAACTTAAGGAGGAAAAGAAGACTTTTCCCCCTTTATACTAACGTAGTAGTTTAGTCTCGCCGAGTACTCGGCGATCCGAGCGTATCTCCGATCCTATATAGTGCTAATCCATAATACTACTCCGTTCCTTATACTACCCCCTCTCTAATAGGGTTAGTCCCTTAGGCCTATTCTATTCCCCTTACCGGGCAGAACGTGCGTGTGACTCTAGCCTTATACGAACTCCGCTATCCGGTTAGCGCTTATAATTAGTCGGTACCGGTAAGGCTATATACCTCCTTCTAAATATCACGACTTCCTTCCACGTATTATTAGGTAATTAGTAAACCGTTAGCGGTAATTATATAGCCGACTCGCTTATTAAATACTATTCCCTTTTTTAGCGTCCCGCGTAATAGCCGGCGATTACTCGCCGCGTTTTATAATATCGCGCTTCTCGCTATACCTTCCTTTATTATCGTGGTGTATAGTATTACTAAATTTATTCTTACTATTCTTTATACTTACTCCCTATCTAGCCGGATTCGTAATTAAGGCGACTATTCGCCTTATAGATAAAAGTTCTCGTAGCTCCCCTATAATTATTCTTCTTTTCTTTCTTTTCCTTATATAATTCTTATTCTTTATATTATGTTTTAGTTTACTATATATTTATATTTATATCTATATTATAGCCGAATAATCGCTATTATATCCTTTTTATTTCCTAATATCGACTAATCGCTAATATATCTCTTCTACTTAGCGTCGCACGCGAGTTACGCCGTATACCTTATAATACCGGCGATAGATAGCTAAGAAGTTTGTCTAATAATCCGCTTTACGGTCGTTATATAGCCTCTCTAGCCACCGATATTTATATAGATTATATTAACTACTCTAGTTCTAATTTATATAGGTGCGTCGTCTATGTACGCTTATACTAGGCGTGTATATCTATAAGTTTATCCTTACCTTCGCCGAATATTCGGCTTCTAAAGCGTTTTTGGATTCCCGATAGCCTTTTAGGAGCTACCCAGACTATTTAGAATATTATTATTAATATTCTTTAAAAGGAGGCTAATAAGAAATTAACGCTAATTAGTTGGCGCCGCTTTTATTTGCGGCTTTAGGCTATATATAAATAGTTCCGTAAGGCTTTAGATCAAGCTACTTATCCCCCCGCCGCCGCTACTATTAACCGCCTTATACTCGATAAGCTATTATTAATTCGGTCTTTATTAACTATTAACCTAATAATACGGGTTTATACCTATTATTCGCCGTTTAGTCGGCTTATACTAACCTCTTCTAGGTCGGTAACCTTTAAGCCGATAAGGCCTATTCCCTTATAGGAATAGTTACGCCCCCTAAGGACCGTAGCCTTATTACCTTTATCACGCTACGGCGTACTATCTATAAGCTTTATAACGCGGATATCGAAGAATATCCCGATAAGCGTACGGCTTAAGCCGCCGGCCTTAACTAGCGCGGTATAAATATATTCCCTCGCCTACGGGGTTTAGCCGCCGCCCTTATAAATATTAGTAAGTCCTATTATCGTCCCTATATATTCGCCGCCTTCGCCGGCCGCCGTATTATTACCCGTAGGCCCTAGATTCACGTCCCTTCGGATAATAAGGAGAATATCGCTAAGTAATCGCCGCCCCCCGCCGCTAGTATCGCCTCCCCTACCGCTAGTATCGCCTCCCCCGCCGCTAACGTCGCTTCCCCTATCGCCTCGCCTATTACCGCTAATAGCCCCGAGGTTAGCACTAAGCCGTCGCCCGTAACCGCCCCTTCTAAGGAGGAGGAGGAGACGGAGGAGGAGGGTACTAAGCCCGACTCCGATAATATTAAAATAAAGGATACTAATCCCTCAGAGAAGGTTATTATTATTAGCAGCGATAATAACTCCTTTAAGGGTTTTGATAACTAAGGGATGGGTTTTTCTGGTAGCCGTAAGCGCTATATTAATAGGGTTAGGGGTTAGTCGTCTTATAGTCGCCTTTTAGCGTTATTACCCCTTATATATAGCTTTTCCTTACTTTATTTACTATTCCGCTATATAAGATAGTATTAATTTCGTACTTATAGTTTAATTCTATATACTAGCCGTTCAGCGCTAGTTATTATCCTACTTCTTATATATATATTTCTTTTACTTCTAATAATGCTTTATAATAGCTAAAGCGTTCCTTAAATACTCCTTAGACTCCTAGATATTATACTTTATAGGCTAGCCCGCCCACTTTACGAGGTAGAACTTCTATCCTTATTCCTTCTTATAGGCTATAATATCTTCGACTTCCTATTTATCCTGCTTTTCTATAAGCGGTAGTAGGTTATTCGCCGAACCCTCGGCTATAAGCCTATTTTTCTACGGTTCTAATAGCGATACCGAAAACACGTTATATATCCTTAAGTACTATAGTAGTAGGCGAACCCTATAGGCTAGCTCGCTAATCCGCTCTAAAATCTTTACCCGGATATAACGCGGTATAAGTTTTAAGCCGGCCTTAAATAGAAAATTAATAGTAGCTAGCCTTATAAATTCTCCCTTTTCGAAACTCCTAGGCTTATACCTCTTATTATAGTGCTTAGCCTAGGTCTTAACCGCTACCTCCTAATAGGCGCGGACCCGTTAGCGAATATCCGCTAACTATTTAACGCGTTCCCTAACGCCTTATACCGTGGTATTATCTCTAGGTTTAATGTACTCTACTATCCTCGGGTAATACCTATAGAGTACCTTATATAGTAATACTCTAATAAAATTATATAGGCTATTATTATACGCGAACTTAGCCTCTCGTAACTAGATCGGCTAGTAATTAGCGGCCTCCGCCCCTATTATCCTTAGGAACTTAAGTAGCGTTTAGTACGTCCGTTCGGTCTGCCCGTCCGTCTAAGGGTAGAATACGGTGGATAGTTAGCGAGTAATCGCCT